GGAATGTATAAAGTAACAAATAAAACAAAAAAGAAACAGTTAAGTTATATTTAAAATTATATCGATTTTACTACAAAAATATACAGACGAATTGGAAACCTTCTCCTGTTGGATATAGAATGATTCGTTTAAATTAAACCTCATGCCTACAATATCCATTTAAGCTTAGATAACTGTTATTGACTTAAGTAGATTATAAACTTATGTGATACGTAGATAACTTTTTATTTTTATTTTAATCAATATCGATTGTATTCGAATCGAGTCGTGGATTGGCATTTGAATCGATTAATTTAGTCCCCGAATGCGGTTCACTTCACACAAAGTTTGAATGCTTTTAATATTTATTCGTCGGTCTTATGCTAGCTTAAAATGTTTGTATAATAAATTTTAAATGTATTAATTTAAATAAAATCATCGGTTCTCTAGATTACATACATACATTTGAATAGATCGTCTCAATAATTTGTGTAATGCAGGCAACACTAAATTCTTTCTTATAAATTAATTATTTCTTTTTATTTTTGAAAGAAAAGGGGGGAAAGGGATTGTTAGTAATGGAGACTAAGAATCCCATTGCTAGCAATATACCCAACCAGGTTGACCTCCTCGCGGTTCTCCCTGGAAACTATCATGATTAATTCCTAATGAATTCATCATGATGGGCTAACTGGCCTGTTTTCATTCTCATCTATCACCCTTCACTGGTGCTCCGCCAGCGTATCCTGTTAGCGCAGGCGGGGTTACCATACCTTTTTCACCCATCAAAAAATAAAATTGATAGAAAAGAGTGGATAGAGGTTAATTCATAATAATTCATAATTATGCTTTATTTTATACTAGCTGTATCTCGTGGCTTAGCCCACATGAATCAGTATGTACATACCTACTATTAGAATCCTATATGCTAAGTTAGAATATAACCTATCTGTGTACCAAATTTCGTTTAAATCAGTTAAGTAGTTTTTCTGTTAAAGAGTAACAAACATCCATGCGTCCATTGTTGTAAACTTTTGCATTTATAACATTAATACTTGTACTTACGTACAACTTTAATTTACTTGCTATTTAGTATATTTATGTTTGATTTTATATAAAGAATTACATTGAAAGGATATTTTTAAATAATATTTAAGCTGATTTTTTTAGTTTTCAACCTGTATAAAAGTCGTAACTTCAAATTGCGTTCATTACAATTTGTAAGTGTTGACATCCAGCAGCACTTGACATGACATGACATGACTATGTCCCATGAGAATGTGTAGTTATAGGCGAGTTTTTCTTGGGTTAAATTAAAGGTGATACTATTAATTGAAGTTACAACTGTGAAGCATGTGACACACTGAGAGGAAGTCATAGAGTCCTGAAATTTATACACACACACACACACACACACACACACACACACACACACACACACACACAGAGAGAGAGAGAGAGAGAGAGAGAGAGAGAGAGAGAGAGATATATATATATATATATATATATATATATATATATATATATATATATATATATATATATATATATATATATATATATATATCATATATCATATGTTATGTTATTTTATAATATATAAAATAACATAACACGCTGAGTATATTCCAGTCTGTACAAAATATCAATCTAGCTTAATATTAGTAAAATGTATTTTAGGAAAATGTAAACTAAAATGGAAACTTTTCTACATTAATCTTACATGGTAAGTAGAGGGGAAAGGGATTGTTAGTAATAGGGTTAAACAGCTCCATAACTAGTAATATACTCCTGTCAGGTCGACCTCCACGCAGTTACTACTGGAAACTATCGTAGTTAATTCTTGAATTGGTCCCAATAGGATAACTGCTTGTATCTGCATTTATCCTCACCTGCCATCTCTCACTAGTGCCTCGCCAATATATACCGATAATGCAGACGACGCTATCATTTCATTTTCACACATTAAAAAAAATGGCAAGTAATTTTCTAATAGGTCACACAGAGCGTAGCCGAAAAGTAAAAAGTACGCGAAAAAATTTGGAGGGAATCGAAGATTAATAACAAGAAGCATATAGTCAATAAGCGATGTTATAAATACAATTGTTAAAGTTTGAGAAAAGAGAAATGGCAACATCGAACGTTGTTTTTTGATGGACTTAAAACTTGTCGTTGGCGTTCTACTTTTATTTATTCTTCTACCCATTTTCAAAATCTTTTAATACTATAGTTTGCACGAATGAATTCGTTCTGTGAATATATTAAATTTCTTATTAATATAAAATTATTTCTATTTCGAGTATTTTATTGCTCCATATGTCTTAAAAGACAACGATGTCGGTTTCAGGTAGCTAATTTATTGTTTACTCTTAATTATTGTTAATTAATTTGTTAACTGTATTTTTAAACATTTTTTTACTCTCGGTGTACCCAGTGAATTATGTCTGATGATGCTCAATGCGCTGCCGGCGCATGCGCAAGTAATGACAGTTCGGGTTTCGTTTCCCGCCAACGCGCGCGTGAGTTCCTTATGATCCAGTGATTAGTTTTATTTATAAACCGTGAATTGGTGTTGTGAACTTGTATTCAGACAAACGTTTATTATATATATATTTATTTATTTTACAGTTAATATTAATTAAAAAAATGTATTATAAATAACTTGATTTTTATGTATTGAATTAAAGCCGTCACCGAGATACTAAACAATTAAATCCTAAATTTTCGAAATTAATTAGGCATTTATTGTTTTTTTAATTAGTCTGATTTAAATATTGAAAATAATTTTAAATAAATTTAATTTCAAAACCGGTGGTTATTAATAAAATAATATGTACATAATTAATAAATATTCTTACAAATCGAATTAAGTACGTAATAAAAAAGAAAATGGGAAATAAAATATTTCAAATTTAATTGGACAATAATAACAGTGAACCTGACGAAATGAATATGGGATAAATACCGGAGTAAATTTTAGTGCATAAATAAAAAAAAATGGCGAATGTATATAACATAAAAAATAAGCTCTCTTTTAAAAATAAGCATTAAAAATTTTATCTAGATCTTGTTGCAAAAGTTTATAAAACAATTTCAATTAGTTCTTAATAAGAAAAAGAAGTTTGTATATATTCATTAAAGTACCTTATTAAATATTTGATTTTTAACCGACTTCAAAAAGAAGAAAGTTCATAATTCGATTGTATCGTTGTAAACGGATTTGGAAAATACTTTTTTATTTGAAAAAACATACTTACATATTGGTCCCATAGGAATTTTATCGAGATCGATTCACTAGTTAATTTAAAATTTCCACATTGTTTACACATATTTTAAACAGAAATAACATAAAAAAAAAAACACAAAAAAGACCCGACCTTCTTTTTTATATTTGTTTCCTAATAACTCCGTCAACTCTAAACCGATTTGGAAAATTATTTTTTTTATCTGAAAGAATGTACTTACAGATTGTTCCCATAGAAATTTTATCAAAATCGGCCAAGTAACTTAATTTTTAAACTTAAATAACTGGTTTTTGTCACAATTAAAGTTGACTTTTTTATGGGGCACCATATTTAATTATGTAATTCCTGCATGATGGACCAAAATTTAAATTTAGACTTAAGTAATTAACTTAAACGCATGATTCAATCGCGGGGTTCGACGCGTAAATGCCCAGACAAACTAAGTTCAGCCGAATACATTATTAACTTAAGTGCTTTATTTTTAATATAGTTATGGTTTAAACATTAAACTGGGTTTATTTAGTTTGTCTTTAGCTGTACGGTTATTACCCTTATACATTCTACAGTTTTCTTTCAGCTTCTCAAAGGTTGACTGTAAGAGATCCTATTATGGGATAAGTCCGCCATTGTATATTAAATATTTTAATATATTCCGTATGAATTATGTACAATAAAGATTTTACAATACAATACAATACAATTGATTACTAACTTCCTCTTACAGCGTCAATGAATTGACGCAATCAACTTTCTTATCAAATAAAACAACGTGAAACAGCGTAATTCCGCCCCATCTTAAGTTAGAGAGCGTAAACGGAATAAAAAGTAAATTAAATCTAAATGTAGCGTATTTTGTAAACGACTTGTAACAATTGAAGGATTTGTGTCACAAAACAAACCGATTTTAATGATGACAAAACCATTCATTTTGGTTTAAACTATGAGTCCAACGACTATGATTCCAATTGCTATCAGTATTTTAATTTAATTAAATTTTAATTTTAAATATAAGAAAAAAATTCCAAATTGGTTTATTTATAAAGTCGGACTTAAAAGGTAATAGTGATAAAAAAACACATACAATCGAATTATGAACTTCCTTTTTTGAAGTCAGTTAAAAAAGTTCTTAAGTCACCTAACTTTTAACCGACTTCAGAAAGGGGGTTCTCAATGCGGTTGCGTTTTTTTTTTAATTTAATGTATATATTTATATAATAAATAATATAGTAATTATACCTATTGATTTATATTACAAATACACTACGTGATGATAATACATTAATTTCTTTATCTTTACTATTATAACAGAATAAATGTATGTTGCGTTTTTTATGTTTGTTACCTCATAAGTCCGTCAGTTGTAAATCAATTTGAAAAATTACTTTTTTATCTGGTCAGTGATTATATTCCTGTCACGCTAAAACATAGCGACTAAAAATTAGTAAAAAACAAAGGAAAAAGAAAGAAAAAAGAAATAAAGAATTATTTATTTAGTGCTTAATTTAATTTATTTACATAAATATTTAACAATAAACAAAAACAAATAAGATATAACTGGGTAGATAGATAGATATATACATTGTTTTATATAGTACCTAATATTTTATGTATTTGTTTATGTATGTTTATAATATATAAATACACATATATCAAGTATTGCTTTATTTTTCCTCTATTTAATAATGCACCGCCTACGTATTTCTCTGTTTGCCCAATGGTTGACTGGTAGAGAACACTGTCCGGTGTTAAGTCCACCATATGTACCTACATAGATCTTTACTGTGCATTAAAGTTTAAATAAATAAATATACAATTTGTTTGCATTACTTATCAGAGTCTTATTGTGATTTCATTTGATCTTGTTAGATTTATATATATAAAAAAAAAAATGTCAACAAATGCATTTTGTGTATACGTATTAATGACAATATCACTAAATAATATAATATGTGAGGAAGAATTCAAGAGTATACCGGTGACGGTGAAAACATATGAAAATGATACTGTATTGCTGCCGTGTTATCTACAAGAGTCAGGTAAATATATCGCCCATTAAAAAAAACCTATCCATCTAAATAAGTAAAAATGGCACATTACTGCAGCGGCCAGCAACTGAGGCATTGATGGACAAACGTGCAAATGTGGGCCAAGGCGTAGCCGAGGCACACATACGTGAATCCATCAATGCCAAGTTGTGGCCAAGGCTTGTATAGTACTTTTCTCAAACAATGCGCGGAAATCAAAAACACAATTTTACTTTTCAAGTTCAATGACGAATAACGAACAATTATAATTTTTCTCGCGCCTTTGTTTTTTTTTTTTCAATAAACAGCTTTCTATTTGCAAGCCAGTTCGAAATTTAAATAAAACCTTTTATTAGTTACCTCCTTGGTAGCCATGTTTCGAAGTAAAAGGTCATACCGTTTTTAAATTACAGGACAGATATGAGTTTACATAGTAATTTATCTGGCCGCAAAACACGACAGATATGGATTTTCATACAACTTTTGCCGGCCGCTGCCCGCATGTATCTGGCCAGTACGGCAATTTCGATTTATCTCGAAGAAGATTGTCAAAATAATGCTCACATTTCTAAGCATGTTTGAGAAAAAAATATATTGTATTTTCGATTCTAATCTGACATTGTCCATCAATCGTCCAAACGGCCAGACAAACATTCGGCTACTTTAGATGATAAAGCTTTTAGTTGCATCGCATTTGCATAATAAACGGTGCATACACCTGGCTCTTTATTGGGCAGTTGATTTTGTATCTTAACTGCTTATGATAAGGTTTATTTTACATTGTTTTATCCGTATCCACTGTATTTGATTCGTGACTTAGAATTTTAATATCAAATGTAGCATATCTAAGTCTTTTGTAGCGGGATTATAGCTACTATTCAGGATTAGGGGGAAGGAAGTATTGATGACGGGGACTAGAAGCCCCATTGCCGGCCCTATACCATTTTACGAACCTGGTTTCCCATAAAAATCTTCAGGGTTAATAATACCAAATGACTTGACTTCCTCGCCCGTTCTTTACTGGTACCCGCCAGCGTATATCGATAGTACAGGAAGGGTAACAATTCCATTTTCATTCCATAAAATAAAGTTTGCTGTGATATGGACTTAGGTCCATTTATTACTATACTATATACACAAGTACTTTTTGTAATGGATGATAATGGAATGGTAACACCACCTACGCTAACGGTATATGCTTGGGGGAAAGGGATTGTTAGTAATGGAGACTGAGAATCCTATTGCTAGCAATATACCCAACCAGGTCGACCTCCTCGCGGTTCCCCCTGGAAACTATCGTGGTTAATTCCTGATGAATTCATCATGATAGGCTAACTGGCCTGTTTTCATTCTCATCTATCACCCTTCACTAGTGCTCCGCCAGCGTATCCCGTTAGCGCAGGCCATTCCATTTTAACCCATCAAAAAAAAAAGACGGTATACGCTGATGGGGCACCAATGAGGGATGATAGGTGAAAATGAAAAGGCAGGTCACATAGCTCATCGTGATGAATACACCTAGAATTCAGCAAGATGTTTTCCATGGGGAATCATGTCGAGGTCGACTTGACAGGGTAGTATCCTGCATTACTAACGATCCCTTCCCCTATATAAGTACTTGAACCACTCTGACCAGTTACTATAAAAAGAAATTCACGTGAGCGTATCAGAAAAAATAAATTCATTACAGAAAAAGTCATGGGCATTTACTAGTAAATAACTATGTTACTGCTTAATGGATTCTCAATTATTTTAAGCGGACAACATCAATATAGTGTTTAACTTAATCATGTTTAACTTAGCTCCCACGCTTAATTTGAACTTACAACTAAGATTAGGTTAATAGATTAAGTTGTTATACAAAATTTACCGTATAAAGCAATCTATTGACGGCACGACGTACCATTAGGGGTGGGTGAGCTTTTATGAAAACAAGCTTGAACACTTTCACATTACATCTTTAGAGAGGCGTCGTCAGCGTAGTGACATACTATATGTGTACAAAATCATTCGTAACGTCATAGATTCGCCATCTCTACTGCTTAATGTAAATTTTAATACAAGATACAAAGCACGTGTACCTTCTCATAAATTGTTTACATTACAAGTCTGTAAAAATAACACCTCTTATTACAATCTTGTGGTAAGGATGCGTCGTCATTATAACGACTTGCTGCTCGACCACAAATCCATCGACATATTCCGTACAAAATTTAGGTATTTGATTTTTAGGTAGAACTTGTTTTCTATTTTGTAGAATATGATTGAAAATATGTTTTTTTTTATATAGTTTTATCTTTTATATATTTATATAACAGTTTAAGTATTTATTTTTATTTTATGTGTTTGCTTTTAATGAATTACTCAAGCTGTGCACATAATGTGATTGGATTATAACCTAGTCGAATAACAAATGTAAATATATATATAATACAGTGAATTTACAGGGTACAGAGGAATAACACCTGAGTCTCCAGGAATGGCAACGCACGGGGGGTATCATGGGCGAAACAGTACACTCTGTTATGTCCATGGTACTGCTTATGTCTATAGGCGACGGTTACCTTTTTCCATCAAGTGGACCGTGAACTTGTTTGCCATTCTAAGTTGTATAAAAAAAAATACAAATTTTCGATGCATTTTATTAACAGAAATTAGCTATTCCCTTTCTCCCCCGTAAATTATATTGTATTAAACGTTTTTACACTACGTTGCTGTAAGAAAGAAAAAAGAAAAAAAGAAAGAAAGCATGCTTTACTGTATGTACGTGAATGTATTGCCTTAAAATAAAGTGTGTATTTCATAAATTGCTCACTCCTCGCTTTGGGAGTTGACGAATGATTGCTTCTTATTAGGGTTCCGTTAGCAAACAATAAGTGGTCTCACTAGATTGTTCTTAAACTATTATACAAGACAAAACCATTGTTAACCGACTATGAAAAGAGGAAGTTCCCAATTGGAACGCACGGGTGGTTTTGAGGTTTATGCATGAAAAAGTAAGAAACGCCCATCCAGTGTATATGTTGCAGTCAAAACTTTTAACCAGTCAAAAATAATATTGACTAGAACAATCAGTTAAAAGTATTTTTGATTAAACAGTTCGGTCAAAAGTGGTTTTGACTGAAAATTACTGGTTATTAGTACTTTTGACTGCAAATTTGCGATTTTTTTTTGATGTGTGAAAATGGTATGGTAACCCCGCCTGCGCTAACGGGATACGCTGGCGGAGCACCAGTGAAGGGTGATAGATGAGAGTGAAAACAGGCCAGTTAGCCCATCATGATGAATTCATCAGGAATTAACCATGGTAGTTTCTAAGGAGAACCGCGAGGAGGTCGACCTGGTTGGGTATATTGCTAGCAATGGGATTCTCAGTCTCCATTACTAACAATCCCTTTCCCCCGCAAATTTGCGATTAGGTTAGGTTAGGTACTTTTAACTGTTATTTTAGTGAAAAGTATTATTGATTAAAGCATACGATTAAACGTAATTTTGACTGATTTTCCTAGTCAATAGTACTTTTGACTGGTTAAGAGTTTTGACTGCAACATATATAATAAGATAGTAGGACTAAGAATAGTGTGGAATAGGAAACAATACTTTTTTTGGGTCTGTTTTCCCTATCAACAGGGAAGGCAAAAGGACTAAGCCTATACAGACTTTGTCTTTGATTAGTTTCTGGTATTCTGGACTCAGGTGTTATTCCTCCGTACCCAGTAAATTCACGCCATATCCCACCCTTCAAACCGAAACACAGCCATGCAAACACAACTGCTCCACGGTAGAAAAACGAATGGGACAGAGTTACCCAAGCAATCGACTTTTGTACAAAGTCTCCCTCTGATGAAAAATGAATATGATAATGACGATGAAGGCCCAAAAATCAAATGTTTCCTCTCTATAATAAGCTTACGACTTTCCTAGTTTCGTGTCTTCAAGCAAGAAGTTTTAAACGTTCGCCGTCGTGCGCGCAATATAATGTCGGGTCGTTTTTCTTTCGAAGCAACACTTAAATGTAACGATGCGTTGAACAGTTGATTTTCAGACAAACGACAGCCCTAACAACTTTGATTGTAATTTAAAAAAAAAATAAAAACGTCAACCATTTAAGACGTCGTTTGTGGGATAAAATAAAAAGTGACCTATGTTCTACTTTATTTCAAATACCATATGTAGGATGGGGGGGGGGATATAGCTATGCCTATATATTTTAGTTACAATATCTATGTCCTTACTGGTCTAATAAGAAATATGTTAAAAGTTTGTTATCTTTCAACCTATTCTATAATAAAATAGATATCCGACCGATATGGGCGATATCTAAAAGGGTGAAATAAAAAAAAAGTCATTTAATTTGGTGAAAAATAAGTCATTTTTCGCCGTAAGTGTCCAGAGGTACGCATTATATAGATATCAGATCGGTGTCCATATTACGCATGTCTAATATGTGCATAAAATTTTATCACAATCGGTTAAGCAAATTACTTTCATTTTTATAATATTAATAAAGTTTATAAATTCAATTATTGTTTGTAGAATTAAATTAATTAAATACGACGGAATAACACCTGAGTCCTCAGGAATGGCAACGCATGGGGGGTATCATGGAAGAAACAGTTCTGTTATATTGTTATAGTCCACGGTTACCACTTTCTATCAGGTGGGCCCTCAGCTTGTTTACCATTCTAAGTTGTATAAAAAAATCTATAGTAGACTATAGATATGATCCTATGTTATTACAGTAACATATACGATTATGGTAAAGCGATAAATCCATTTAGTAGGCGTTAACTTGTTGTCCAGCGGTCATGAAGGTAACAATATATTAACTATGTATATATTTCCACCCACGATGGCATCGGTGGGCAATAATTAAATACAATAAACACACAACTTTTGTGTTTAACACGTATAGAACGCATACACAGACAGTACCACAATACCCACAGCACACAATCATATCGAAAAAATTTCAACAGATGTGTGAATAAAATGGATAAGCTACACGGACAAATAATTTATTTTTAGTACACAAATTCGTGTTTTAACCGTGAAGCAGTTGTGTTTGCATGGCTGTGTTTCGGTTTGAAGGGTGGGATATGGCGTGAATTTACTGTGTACAGAGGAATAACACCTGAGTCCTCAGGAATGGCAACGCATGGGGGGTATCATGGGCGAAACAGTATACTCTGTTATATCCATGGTACTGCTCATGTCTATAGGCGACGGTTACCACTTTCCATCAGGTGGGCCGTCAGCTTGTTTGCCATTCTAAGTTGTATAAAAAAAAAAAACTACTTTTGTATAATCACTACTTTATCGAGAGGGACCTGGTGTCTAAGATACAGGTTATGGCTTAGTTTATGCTCCAGAGTTCCCACAAATTATAATATTTATATTTTTGTATAAAAGTAAACAATCTATACACATATTATAATTTGTGGATTTGAAATAAAATCATTATTATTTTTTAAATTTCACAAAAGTTCTCGTCTCCCCTCTTAAGGAGAAGAGATGGCAACTATCCCCCAGCAGAAGTACAATCGGTCGGGGTTCTGGACCCCAGGAAGAGAAACCGGCGTACAATGCGGGCAGTATCTAAAAGCACCGCTTTCTGCATCTTTCCCGGGAGTGAGCCGCCTCGGAATTCCAACCGTCTGAGATGTTGTTCCAGACTGGTTGGGATAAGACCATTCACAGACAAAACGATTGGAATAATTTCGGTGGACGTCACCCTCCACATTTCGGTCACCTCGTGAGCCAGGTCGAGATATTTTATCTTTTTCTCAGTTTCGGCTTTCTCTTTTTCTCAGTTATGGCTTTATTATTATTATTATTCACAACAATCTCATATCAGCTGTATTTGTGCACTGCTGAACATAGGTCTCTCCCATAAACTGCCATAATAAACGGGGACGTTTCTTATTGCAGTTTAGAGGGAGTTCCCATTGAGGGAATTTTTGCCAGTAGTTACTTCGCTTGGCAGGCGGATTGGCAACCGCAGTTTGGTTTTTAGTGATGTTTTAAAAGGTACGCTTTCGCTCATCCCCCGACCATTATGTTCCTTTAGTCGCCTCTTACGACACCTACATTGAAGGAAAGAGTGGCCTATTCTGGGCCGGGACCACACTGTATTTAGAGCAACCTGTAAAGCAAACATATAGTTTTAAAAAGACATAAGACAATTACACAAATAATACATCAGCCAATAAAGTTTGCACAGATGAAGGAAAATACACAAAAAAAAAAACCACTATTATTATTGAAAATTAAACAAAATATATGGCTTTCATACTTCCAAAGTGGTCTGAAATCAATCCATGCATACAAAGTCACAGTCGGCCAATTTATTACAAAAACTCCGTCAACATACAAAACGGTAATGCCGTATCCATTATCACACTTTATTCATCGCTCGTTAGAGACAGGATGGGGCCCAGATTTGAATCTTTGTGCTACAATTGTAGGGGCCTATTGACTGTTACCGGGACATGAATCTTGGCCCTCGCTCTACTATATTTTATTATTATTGTTAAATTATATATTGCTTAATACTTCGCCTGCTAGAAGGAGAAATAGACCGCAAAAGAGGAAGGGGAAGGCCGAGAAATAACTGCATGGGACAGATAAAGGAAACACTAGATGTCATATCGTATAGGGAGGTCAAAGATATAGTCTGGAATAGAGCTGGCTGGTAGAGAATGCATCAATTAGTTCCACCGACAAGAGGAAACTCTTAAATTAAGAGAGAGAGAAGGATTTCGGATAGTAGAGATTTCAGTTGACTTCAAAAAGAAGACTGACATATTACAATGCCCCATCTATTCTGAAACTGAACTGACCTTTTACTACTGATAGTATTTTTTATGCATTTTAGTGTGACAAACAAGCTGACGGCCCACCTGATGGAAAGTGGTAACTGTAGGCGACAGTCATGAACAGTACCATTGATATCACAGAATATACTATAACGACTTTGATACCTTTCATGCGTTACTATTCCTGCGATCTTTTTTTTTAAATAGATGATAATAGAATGGTAACCCTACCTGCTCTAACAGTATACGCTGGTACGGCACCAGTGAAAGTTGATAGATGAGGATGCTCAGAAGGGCAGATCAGTTAGTCCATCGTGATGAATACACCTGGAATTCAGCACGATGGTTTCCAGGGGGGACCGCGGGGAGGTAATCCTGCCCGAATATACTATTAGTAATGAAGCTACTAATTCCCATTATTAATACTTCCTCCCCCCCCCCCCCACTCTATTCCTGAAGTTTAAGAGTCCTACACAGCTGTTTCACGGCAGAAACTCAGGTGGGACAGACGTACCCAAACAGACAGTTGTGCAAGAATGGTAACGGCGGGGTACGGAGACATAGTACCAAAGTCAGGAGGGAGAAGGGATTGTTAGTAATTGGGCTTAACCCTTAAATACCTGAAGTTTCAAATTTGATTTTGCATTGTTTCATTGTCAAATAAATTTAAATATTTTGATTACCGTTATGCCTAAAGTATCAAAAATAATACAAAATGTTTTTTTTTTTTTTAAATAAATATATAAAATATCGTTTTGATTTTTTTACTATTTTTCCCCATTAGTAAACACAGTAAAGGGTTCACTTATTTATTTTTTAATTTGATTTAAAAAATCAAGCTTTTAAGGGTTAATAACTCCATTGCTAGCAATATACTCTATCAGGTCGATTTCTATGCGATTCCCCTTGGAAACCATCGTGATCGTTGCGTTGTTGAAATCGTTACGATGGGCTAACTGACCCGCTTCATCTTCACCTATCATCTCTCACTGGTGTCCCGCCAGTGTGTTATCATCAATTAGAAAAACCATAGTTTTCAGGAATAGTTGCTATTGTGTGCAAGGTACCATGAGCAACATGGTTATTTTTATACAACTTAGAATGCCACTCAGGGTTTGCTGGAAGAGAACTCTTACAGAGTTAAGCTCGCCTGTTGTACATCTTTATTTTATATATATATATATATTATATGTTGTAATTTTTTCTGTGTACAATAAAGAATAAATAAATAAAATGGCAAACAAGCTGACGGCCCACCTGATGGAAAGTGGTAACCGTCGCCTATAGAACAGCCTATTGCATTTACGGTGATCCATCCATCCATCCTTACAAACTTTCTTATTCCAGACATAGAATAGGCCACTCTATCCTTTCCCGTGTGTGTCGTAAGGGCCTTATGGTGGGGGGATGGGCAGCAACGTCCCTTTTGAAATCTCTGTGAAAGCCTAACTGCGGTTGCCAACCCGTCTGCCAAGCGTGGCAACTATTGGCAGAACTCCCCTTATGGGGAAGGCTTATGTCCAGTAGTGGACAGTTAACGGCTGAAATAATCGTAATAAAATTGGATAATTAACGATTTTACATGTTTTTTTAATCTCTTTCCAGAGTACAAATACCGTGTGCGGTGGTACAAAGATGAGACACTGCTGGGAGACAGCCATGACTCTCATCATCTTCTCCCTCCAAGAGTGAGGATGCACGCCAACTTCAGTCTACAGATCGATAATCTCATGTCACAGGACACCGCGGACTATACTTGCGAGGTTTGTAGGCTTTTAGGATAGAATAGAAAGAAGAAAGAAAGAAAGTAAGCTTGATTGACAAATAATTGCATTTACAAAACAAAAAAAGACGATAATAAATAAATAAATATAAATAAATAAATAAATATGAATTTGTAACAATCAGTTTTTTTTAATGGTTGATAATGGAATGGTAACCCCGCACCCCTATCAGTATACGCTGGCGGAGTACCAGTGAGGATGATAGGTGAGAATGAATACAGGTCAGTTAGCCCACCATGATGAATTGGACAAGAATTCTCGGACACGCGGACGAAGTCGCGGGAAAAGCTAGTAATACATAAGTAGTACTTCTCCATTGCGAAACAAGACTATAACAGAAACAGTAAGTAGTAATTAGTTTTAACTGTTGTACACACATTGCGCCCTTCGATCTTAACTTACGTTTAATTTGTAGTTAGTGATGAGAAGTAGTTCACACTCGATAAATATCATATCGACAAATCATATCGATATCGATAGACTGAAAAAAATATTTATGAGGCTGTACCACAGTCTATCAGGTAGGCTATCAGCTTGTTTGCCATTCTAACAAACAAACAAGGTACAAACGAATTAGACTTCATTTATTTGCTAGAATAAGGTACATTTTATAGGTGTTACATGTTGTTACAAAGAAAATTATAGCCCAATCTTATTCTGCCACAAGGTAGAAATGCAAATATGAAACATATTCCACAAGAAAATTTAAATATTTAAATAACATTTTGTCACATTTTGTACACTTATTACTTATCTGGTCATTTTTGTCAATTCATATTGTAGATAGAAGTATTTTGGTCAACATTCCCAGGAGTAAGAACATAACATAGATTTGTTTGCTATTTATCGAGGATGGGCTGAAAAGATACGTCTTTAATTCATGCCTTATAATATATTATGGGTTTACTTAAGAGCGCAAATCTAACCCCCTCCCAGAGGGATCTCAGTCAGAAGCTAGGTATAGCCATGTCCATATGATCAGGATATATTGATTGACCAGGATTTTTTTTGCAACTTAGAATGGCAAACAAATCAACACATTTTTCATTTATTTATTTATATTTTTGCCCACATTAGAATATGTCTACAGGGCGGACTTAATGCCCGATGGTATTCTCTACCAGTCAACCGTTACGATAAACAGAGAGAGAGAGTAAATGCATAGATTATATTATATATTAGAAATAACTATACATAGTATATATTAAATTAATAAATATATAAATCATAACTAATTTGTAACAGATTGAGGCTTTTCATTGTTGTGATAAATTGAAGTATATTCACGAAGGGACTTTTTAAAGCAAAATTTGGTAAGAGATTTTTTTATTTATTATATCAATAGGCAGTGAATTCCAAAGGTTAATTTAAGCTGATATGGTAAAAGATTATGATAATTGACTAGAAGAGGAACGAATATCTCGAGAGTGGGTAGCATTTAAGAATTGGGATCACTATGTATGTATGTATGTATATATGTATATATATGTATATATATATATATATATATATATATATATATATATATATATATATATATATATATATATATATATATATATAGAATTATACACAAAAGTGTAAATTTTTCGATACAAGTCCCAACACTAGTACGTATCAGCCAGTTTAATGTAATGAATCAGCCCGGCCAATTATGCAATTAATCAATCTAACCAACTCTTTTGTGGCGGACTGTTTTTGTCTATATTCTTTTGTCTATGGAAACAGTGATGTGGCTGCAATTACATATGTTGGGTATTATATTGTGTCTATGGAGAGACCGTTATTGGATAACTAGGTAGTTAAAATAATTAAAGATAAAAATTTGGGTGTTGCTTGAAGAGAACTCTTTCAGAGTTAATCTCGCCTTTGTACATTTGATTACGTCTGTCATATTTTTATATATAATTAGTGTGTACAATAAAGTATTAAATAAGAAATATATATATATATAGTGTCACACAGTCAAAAACATTCAGAAGATGTCTTTCAGACGAATCAATAACTTCGTTCCTTTCTTTAAAGACGCCGTCGCGTAGATAGATAGGCAACGATTATTAAAAACGGATGGATCCATTTAGTGAGGACTGCGGTGACCATTGATAAGCAATCAACTTAATTATTTCGTGGACCACCCAGTTAGACTTAATTAGTCGTTAGATATGTTATGAAACAATACAGTGTATGGTTACTTGTATTAACAAAATTTGAAGTTTCTTTCTTTTTCTTATTGTAAAAAGAAAGAAATTGTTTCATAAAAAAAATAAGCGATTTAATTACAGTTACAAAATCAGTTATTTTGGTTTAAAAATTAAACCACTGAATCGATTTTGATTTAATTTTTATATCTTTTAAAATAAAATAAAAAGACTTGTTCCAAATTGGGTTACAACCAACGGCTTTGTAAAACAACAAACAAACAATTTTTTATTGTTGTTTTTTAAATATTATTAGTGGTAATAAAGACTATCTATCTATCTATCTAACAAACATATCTTTTTTTTTATTGAAGTCGCTTAAAACTAATGTTAACCTTATTGAAATTAATATCATTTAGTAACTCGCATTCATAACCGTTATCCGGGTGGACCAGGCATAGAATTATCCTTGTGGTCTAATAAGCCCTTCCTGTCCTGTGGATGTAAGAAGCGACTAAGAGAATCCGAGCGATGTGCAGCAGCGTCCTCCTTAAAACGTCACTAAAGCCTAACTGCGGCTACCAATCCGCCTGCCAAGCGTGGCAACTACCGCCAGGAACCTTCCACGGGGGAGGTTTATATTCAGCAGTGGACGGTTGGGAGCTGACATGATGATGAAGATTAATGCACCATATCACCTTGTGTTTGCTCAGAATAGTGAATGAATGAATGAATGAATGGTTTATATTTCTCTTCACAAAAGGTAGAATAAAGTGACAACTTGAGGTACAATTTGATATGAAGACCAATTTTGTGAGAGACCGGTGCTTGCGGTAGGTTTAGAAGAACCTGTGTTACAAGTCGCCAGATATCAATCAATAGTATCAAGGTCTCTATTATATTTATTTATTTATTTCTGCTATTAACTGTCCACTGCTGAACATTAGCCTTCCGGGGGGAAAGGGATTGTTAGTAATGGAGACTGAGAATCCCATTGCTAGCAATATACCCAACCAGGTCGACCTCTTCGCGGTTCGCCCTGGAAAATATCATGGTTAATTCCTGATGAATTCATCATGATGGGCTAACTGGCCTGTTTTCATTCTCATCTATTACCCTTCACTGGTGCTCCGCCAGCGTATCCCGTTAGCGCGGGCGGGGTTACCATACCATTTTCATCCATCAAAAAAAAACGTTAGTCTTACCCATAAGCGGAGTTTTGCCAGTAGTTGCCACGCTTGGCAGGCAGTTTGGCAACCGCTGTTAGGCTTTTACATATTACAAGAGGGACGCTGCTGCCCATCCCTCCAAAACCAGCTCTCTTAGTCGCCTCTTACGACACTCACGGGAAAGGAAGGGGTGGTCCATTCTATGTTGACGGTTACCACTTTCCATCAAGAGATCCATTAACTTGTCTGCTATACTAAGTTTTTTTTTACTAAGGTGACAAACAAGCATACAGCCCACCTGATGGTAAGTGGTTACCATAGCCTATGAACACCTGCAATACCAGAGGTATTACGCGTGCGTTGCCGACCCTGAAGAAACCTCTTTACCCCCTTTTGAAGAACCCCATGTTGTAGTCTCTTGGGAAAACCTTGGCAGAGTATTGTTTACATTTGTAACTAGGCGTTGTCTGTACATGGGAGATATTTAAGAAAAATTGTTAAGATCCACCATGAATCTTTAGAAGAGCAATAGAAACCAATATGTAATTTTCAATCACTTTCTCAGTTTCTTTAAAAACTACTGCACGAAATGGAATGCACATTTCATTTTATACGCCATTGATACTCCACAGGGAGACTTTGTACAAAAGTCGATTGCTTGGGTACCTCTGTCCCATTCGTGTTTCAACCGTGAAGCAGTTGTGTTTGCATGGCTGTGTTTCGGTTTGAAGAGTGGGATATGGCGTGAATTAACAGGGTACAGAGGAATAACACCTGAGTTCTCAGGAATGGCAACGCATGGGGGGTATCATGGACGAAACAGTGTACTCTGCTATGTCCATGATACTGCTCATGTTAAGTTTTTTATGGTTGTGATCTGTTTTATATACCAATAAAATAAAATAAAATATTTTTTTTTTATACCACTGAGGTGGCAAACAAGCATACGGCCCACTTGATGGTAAGCGGTTACCGTAGCCTATGAACGCCTGCAATACCAGAGGTATTACGCGCGCGTTGCCGACCCTGAAGAAACCTCTTTACCCCCTTTTGAAGAACCCCATGCTGTAGTCTCTTGGGAAAACCTCGGCAGGGAGCTCATTCCATAACCTGAGTGTTGAGGGAGTAAACATCTCTGAAACCGCGTAGTACGCGACCATTGAGGCTGTAGGAAATGAGGATGAACTCCCTGTCGATGGCGAGCCGTACGATGGTAGAGAGTGGCTGTGGGCATCATATTTAACAATTCCTCTGAGCACAATCCATTGTATAGGCGGTAGAACACGCAGAGCGAGGCAAAATCTCTCCTAAGACTCAAGGGTTCGATATCGCTTGTGAGCCCGGGTTCATCGACAATTCTCATAGCTCGTCGTTGCAACGAGTCGAAAGGTTCAAGCTGGTATTTAGGTGCTCCGTCCCATAAGTGACAGCAATACTCCATGGGGGGCCGGATTTGCGATTTGTACAGCATTAATCGCTGACCCGGCGTGAAGTAATGCTTCGCTCTATTGAGCACACCGAGTTTTTTGGATGCCAGCTTCACCTTATCTTCGAGGTGGCCACGGAATTGTACATCACTAGAGATGTCGACACCAAGGATCCCGATGCTTTTAGAGATGTTAAGAGACGTGCTTTGGAACTGTGGAGCCACAGCAAATGGGGTTTTCTTAGCGGTGAACGCGCAAGCTTGTGTCTTAGCGGAGTTAAACTGGACTAAGTTTTTTAAGACCACAAAAATATGTTTAAAAAACACACTATCACTGATTTTGTATTCTTCTTCAAAATTTCTTGTTTTTATTTTACAGGTTATACGCCCAGAACCATGGAGTCCTATACGACAAACACACTCCATAGAAGTCCAGTGTGAGTTTTTAACATTTTTTATTTATTTGTCTATCTTCATGTCAGGTCCTTTGCGGGGTAGATGGAGAGAATTGAGTAACAATGAGGATTTATGAGTTTTGTTTTTTATAATTCTACTAATACATGCTAATGGTAAAACTGGGGGGAGGGGGTTGTTAGTAATGAGATCTAACAGCTCCATTGCTAGCAGTATACCCTGTCAGGTCGACCTCCACGTGGTCCCCCCTGGAAACCATCATGTTGAGTTCCAGGTGTATTCGTTACGAGAGGCTAACTGACTTGCCTTCTCTCACTGGTGCCCCGTCAGCGTATACTATTAGCGCAGGCGGGGTTACTATTCACTTATCATGTAAAAAAATGGTAAAACTTGACGGTTAAAATCTTGACAATTTTTTTTTATACAACTTAGAATGATGCAAACAAGCTCCTGATGGAAAGTGGTAACCGTTGCCTATAGACATAAGCAGTACCTCAGTACCAGTTTATTTTTATTATGTAATTAATTAAATATAGTGTAATCAATATTTAATTAAGTTAGTAATTTAGTGATAATAACAATATTTTATATTTTTGAATTTGTTAAAGGTAATTATAAGTATTTATTTAATATTTTACGCTGTTAACTTTCTTAATTATACAGTACTATCATACCTACTTGTACAACAATTAGTCCATTACCCTAAGGTTGTCTTGAAAAGATTGCTCTCAGCAATAAGACCGCCTCACTGTACTCGTACAACTGTATCGTTGCGTTTGTAAATTGTCTTGCTTATATCCTATATTGTATAATGCAAATAAAGTTCATTCATTCATTACTTATGTAATCCCTTTATTGAGTCCCGCGATACAGTTTTAGTTAGTACAGGATTTGATGTACTGGTGTTGGTATATTTATGGTGGATCATCATTATCATGTTAGCCCTTAACTGTCCACTGCTGAACATAAGTCTTGCCCAAAAGGGTAGTTTTACCAGTAGTTGCCAAGTTTGGCAAACGTATTGGCAACTGTAGTTGGACTTTTATTAGTGTTTAAAGAGGAACGCTGCTGCCCTTTTCTCTATGGTTAAGTTCCCTTAGTCGTCTCTTACGAAACCGACAGGAAAGGAAGGGGAGAGGCCTATCCTATACCAGAACCACGACATTTTCACGACGACCACGACAATTTATAAAGGACACGGCGGCATATTTATTAAAACTTGTACTTTTGATTGTTACAGATTCACCAAAAATCAGAACGGTTCCAGAGGATGGGTTTCTAGAAGTTCGCAAGGGGGAGTACGTTGATATCGGATGTGAAGCCAACGGCACGCCGCACCCAATAGTAAACTGGAGGAAGAACGTGAGTCACACAAACTAACTCTCCTCTGTGGGGGGGGGGGGGAGGGAGGAAGGAGGATTATTAACAATAGAGACTAAGGACCACTATGCTAGCAATAGCAACCCAACCAGCTCGACCTCCACGTGCATCCCACCCCTGGAAACCATCGTATCATATTATTCCTTTATTATTTGTAAAAAGCACTTAAATTCGCTAAAAGAAATCCCTTTGCAGGGTGAAGCTATGGCCTTGCTGGACCATCGTCCACGTATTAAATTCAGGGCCGAACATCGGCTGTTGGCCGGCGTGTATGAGTGTGTGGCGATCAATGGTGTTGGGGATCCGGTGATCGCTGCCATAAGAGTTGTCATCCATGGTTAGTATAATTATTTATTTATGCACACTCTAATGCACAGTGAAATTTTATGCACATTTGGAGGACTTAACACCGGACGGTGTTCTCTAAACTAAGTACGTATAAAAGTTTTTTAAAAATTTTATTTTACAATTATTCAGGTAAATCAATTTTATCCCCTTCAAAGTACTCCCCCTGTGACATAATGCACTTGTGCCAACGCCGTTTCCACTGTGAGAAGGCTCCTTGAAAGTCCTCTGGTTGTAGGTTTCTCAGCTGCACCGTCGTAGCTTTTTTTATCTCATTTATGTCCCCCAAATGCCGCCCCCGAAGTACCAAATTGGTTTTTGGGAACAAGAAGAAGTCACACGGGGCCAAATCCGGCGAATAGGGGGTGTTCGGTCACCGTAATGGAATTTTTACTCAAAAACTCACGGACAACAAGAGAGGTGTGGGCAGGGGCATTGTCGTGGTGAAGAATCCAACGCCCCTCTCGCGCCAATTCTGGACGAACTCGTGCCACACGAGCTTTGAGGCGTCTGAGCACATCGAAGTAGAATTTTCCATCAACTGTCTGGCCTGGAGGGACGAATTCTTGATGGACAATCCCCCGAACATCGAAAAAAACAATCAACATTGTCTTGACCTTTTTAGCCACTTGTGGACGGTTGGTTCCTTCACAGCATCATCCCCATAAACTGTTCTGAGATCGGCAAAAATTTCACGGCCATTCTTGCCGAGTTTCGAGAGAAACTTGATTACGACGCGCTGCTCTTCAACGGAAGCGGGCTCCATGCCGACGGGGTTTCGTTAAGAGGTAACTTCACAGATGGCGTGACAAGCCAGTTCGCACCGCACGGCGGTCAGACCAGAACTGAAGCATTGTTAGGGACATAAGGAAGGGGTCCTGCGCTTACCTGGCCTCCCCACTCCTCTTTCTCGCATTCCAGAACACTTTTATACGAACTTTCCGGACAGACCTCGTATATATATATATATATATATAAGGAGCCACAGACAACTTTCTATATCGAGGCAGTTTTGACGCCGAAGAAACGGCTGCTCCTGTAATCCTGGAATGTGAAGCTGTGGCCCTTCAACGTTTAAAAATCCTCGGAACAGTGAGGTCACTCCGTAAGGCCTGTGAAGAGCCCAGGTAGCTTCTGTGCTTTTCGTCGGAGTTGGAATAACCGTACTAGTCATACTTATACCATTTGAACCATTGTGTAAAGGCCCAAATTAGAGGCTAAGTGCGAAAAATAAAGTCCAATTTACATTACATATATGTACATAATATGGAAAATAAATACATAAAACATTACTATAACATAAAATTAACTTGCTCTTTTAACAATTAAAACTATTTAAGACTCAAACAGAAGCAGCAATGTTAAGTTTATAGGGGAAGTGAGAAAAAAAGAGAATAAAATTAAGTTTGTAAATCGGTCTTTTTTAAGAAATAGGAGCGCAATTTATATTTAAAAGTTAGTATATGTGTACGAATTTAAACACACTTTATACACGAATTAGCCATGTGGTCCCGGCCTAGAATAGGCCACCCCTACTTTTACCGTGGATGTCGTAAAAGCCGACTAAAAGAGGGCGAGGGATGGGCAACACCGTCCCTCTTAAAACATCTCCAAAGCCTAACTGCGTTTGGCAAGTGCCAAGTGTGGCAACTACTGGCAAAACCCTCCAAAGGGGAGGCTTATGTCCAACAGTGGACAGTTAAAGGCTGATATCGTGATGATATTTATATGAATACACAAGTAATAGTGCATACTGATTAACACGAAGTTTCTCGGGGAGGATTGTTAGTAATGAGGAGGTTAGTTCTCATTGCTATCAATATACCTTATCAGGTCGACCTCCACGCGGTTCCCCCTGGAGACGGTCTTGACTAATTTATCGTTGAATTCGTCACGATGGGCTAACTGGTCTGCCTTTTAATCCTCACCTTTCATCTCTCACTGGTGCCCTGCTAGCGTATACCGATAGCGCAGGCGGTTACCATTCCATTATCACCCATTAAAAAAAACACAAAGTTCCCATTTTTAAGGTAAAATAGAATAAATTTAATTTAATTACTGATTCATTTATTCATCAGATGCCCCAGTAGTATCCGCGGAACGCAGCTTCGTTCACACGGCAGTAGGGCTGAGGGCGGCGTTGGCGGCGAAACTTGAGTTCGCCGTACCGCCAGCTCGCACCGCGTGGTACAGAGACGGCAGACCGGTGAAGACCGATGACAGGTTGGGAGCATTTATTTTACATTAACCCGTTTAAAGCAAGAAAAGTTCTTGAGTGCCGACTCTGCACGACCAAACACAGTGTAGGATGACACCCCCACTGGATAAAGACTTCAAATAAATTGTAAGGAGTTAGTGGATGCAGGTGGCACAGGATCGTTCCTTATGGCAGTTTTTGGGGGAGGCCTATGTCCAGCAGTGGACAGCTAATGGCTGAGATGTTAATAATCATAATGAACCAGACTATAGACTAGCTGACAAACAAATAAAATAGGATTGTGTTCCACAATAAAAAAAATAAAATAAAAAAAAAATAAAAAAAACCTACTTTGGTTTTGGCAAAACCCAGTTATTTTGATTAAAAAACTAAACTACTTAAACTGATTTTGATAAAGTTTATTTATTTATATATTAACCATTAATGCACATAGTGTAAATGGCGGACTTAACACCATATGGCGTTATCTACCAGTAAATTTGTATGGGACCAACCTGTAGGTATGTCCTTTCAGATAAAATAAGAATTTTCCAAATCGACTTATAACTTGCCGAGTTACAAGGTAACAGACATAAAAAAGTACAAGCGAATTAAGAATCTTGTTTGTTTTGAAATTGATTGAAAACGACTTATGGGTCGATTTAAGTTTACGACTTCCTAACTCTCTAATGATGGAAAACATTGATAATAAACGTTTAATGAGAAGTGCGATAGCTTCATGATTTTTCCTTCATGCTACATAAAAAATTACAAACGAATTGAGAGACTTGTTTGTTTTTAAATTGGTTGAAAACAATTTCAATTGTTAATTTAAATTTACGACTTGCTAACTCACCGGTAATGGAAAACATTGATAATAAACTTTAAAAACAAAAGTGTGATAACTTCATGCTTCTCGCTTCATGCTTGTTGTTTCATACTTCTTGCTTCATGTTTCAGAATAGTGATAATGGTCCAAGATAACATCCACCAGCTGATCTTCCGGACAGTAAGGAAGACAGATCTTGGGAACTATACGTTCAGAGCGGAAAACAAGCTGGGAATGGCTGACGTGTCCTTCAAACTTACTGGTAAGTTTTTAAGGGATGAATATAGAAAGTCCACCCCGCAGTCTTGGGACGCGAGTTCAATACTGACAAACTCTGTTTTGCTCCTTATCTAGGGGTGAATAATATATAGATATATACAAAAAAATGGATTTCCCCTGACAACAAAAGTATTCGCGTTACACCCGGACACTTTTCGGAAACCCCTGCCGGACGACCGCCAGACGCCCTTCAAACTAGGACAAATCCGGGGAATTCCGGACAGATGGCAGCCCTACGCCGACCCCGAATAATAATTGAGATAAGGGTAGGAAGACGATGATATTACATTGATCCACTAATGGATATCTTCATCATCATATCAGTCGTTAATTGTCCACTGCTGGACATAGGCCTACCCCTATTGGGGTGTTTTGCCAGTAGTTGCTACCCTTGGCGATTGGGTCCGCAACCGCAATTAGGTTTTGGTGATGTTTTAAAAGGGACGCTGCTGTCCATCCCTCGGCCATAAAGTTTCTTTAGTTGTTTGTTACGGCACCAACACGGCATCAGGTAAACAATAGATGTTTATAAATAAAATTCCATTAAAATCAGTTGAGCAATATCGAAGATCAATCTCCGAAACTTAACGATTGCTCAAAATCCGTTTGAATTTTGTATATAATTTTTTTTTTTTTTTATAATAGAATAGAAAATATTTTTTGTCAGAAAAAGACATAGTTATAACGGAAAATACAGAATTATTATATATATAGAGAATCTCATATGAGGTAAAAGGAACTGGCTCAGCTGATGCTGCGAGTGTCCCAGTGCAATTTGTAGAGCTGCACAACGCTGGTTTTCAGCCAGTCCCTCTCCTAAAAAAACAAACTTCGCCTGCGCTAACGGTATACGCTGGCGGGGCACCAGTGAGGGATGATAGGTGAAAATAAAAATTCAGATCAGTTAACCCATCCTGATGAATACACCTTAATTCAGCACGATGGTTTCTAGAGTGATCATGTGTAGGTCGACCTGACAGGGTATATTGGTAGAAATGGGATAGGTAGTCAGCATTACTAACAATTCCTTCCCAACAATGTTATATTAGGCAAAAGGAGCTGGCTCAGCTGATGCTGCGAATGTCCCAGTGCAATGTGTACAGCTGCAAAGCGCTGGTTTTCAACCAGTCCCTCTCTTAACAAAATACGACAAAAATACAATTGGGTACAACTACATTTGGGCGTTACAAGAATGTGGCCTCTATTTTCAGGGGTTCCAAACGTGGCCTCGTTCAAAGTGGACCAAACTTTGAATAAGGCAACAGCGACAAGTTTCAACCTTATTTGGGAAGTGGACTCATATTCGACAATCATCGGTAAGTTGGCTCCTATCATGATCTTATTATATTAATAAATTGTTTTCCTCGAAAAACCGACTTCAATTATGGAAAACTAATTTACATACAACCATTCCTTGGAATCAACTTCCAGCAGCAGTATTTCCGAACAGATAGGACATCGTAACCTTTAAGAAAAAAGCATATTCCTTTTTAAAAGGCCGGCAGCACACCTGTAATGCCTTTGGTGTTGTAAGTGACCATGGGCGGCGGTAGTCACTTACCATCAGGTGAGCCGCATGCTCGTTTGCCCCCTGTGTTGTAAAAAAAAAGGTATGACGGATGAGCTAGCCAACAATGTGCGCAACCATAGTTTAAAGGGAGGAGGGTTTGTTGGTAATGCGGACTACCAGACCCATTGCTAGCAATATACCCTATCAAACGGCCTCCACGTGGTCCCCCATGGAAACCATCGTGTTGAATTACAGATGTATTCATCATGATGGGCTAACTGATCTGCCTTTTCATTCTCACCTATCATCCCTCACTGGTGCTCCGTCAGCGTGTACTGTTAGCGCAGGCGGGGTTACCATTTTATTATCATCCACTAAAACAAACATAGTTTAGGGATCCCAACATCCCGGCCCATCACACCACCTACCTTGCCACTAAGGTCGTCCATGTTATCAAGTAATAGTATTTTCATCAAGAAAAGAGCTTATGCCCTTTTAAAAAGCTTAAAAAGATATTTTCGTTTACAGAATACAATCTTTGGCTGCGACCTTACTATGGCCGACTCAGTACAGTAGACCCCAGTTCCTTTACCACGGAGTCCCCCGCTAATCTTTGGAGCAAGATCGTGATACCGGGCGACTCTAGCGACGGGCCAATACACAGCGCTATCTATACTGTTAGAGGACTAACGCCCTCTACCGTCTACGAGGCAATAGTGACCTCAAGGAATAGGTATATTTTTTAACCAATATTTGCAAATAAAAAAAAATGCAGCAAACAAGCACACAGCCCGTCTGATGGTAGACGGTCACTGTAGCCTATGAACGCCTGCATTACTAGGGGTGTTACGTGCCCGTTGCCAACTCTGAAGAAACCTTGATATTTCCTTTTTGAAAAACCTCATATAGTAGCCTTTAGTAGAGAAAACCTTTTACTTTCTATTCTAAATAATCTTTTTACTTTCAAATTCCAGATTTGGTTGGAGTAAACCATCTGCTATATTACATTTTGCTACGGAACCTGGCTGTAAGTTGGTATTTCTACTTTAAACTTACAAACTTGCTTTTGTGTTCGTCTTTTTTTTTTTAATAATCTCTGTTATGGTTTAGATATGTCACATTTTACTATTATTCAAGTCCTATACCGGATAGTAACTGAAATAATTTGGTTTTATTGTGGAACGAAATCTAAAATTAGTTATTTATTAAAAATATATTTATGATTATACATGTAAAATTTACAAAAATTTCACTTTAAAAATTTTTCTACGGATTCACATACTGGCCGCTTCGAAATGTTTCAAACACAACAATTATTAAAACATGATTTTTATAATTTGTTAACGGCGACTTCTTTGATGTCATTTGTGTTTATGGGCTGCGGTAATCACTTACCATCAGGTGAACCATAAACTCATTTGTCGCTCCTTCACAATAAAAAATAATTTAATAGTTTATTCCACAGAACAACCGACTTCCATTGTGACATAACCAGTTATTTAAATTCAAAAACTGAACTATGATTATAAAAACATTTCTATACGATCAATCTGTAAGTATATGCATTCAAATAAAAAAAAGTATTTACCAAATCGGTTTACAACTGACAGAGTTAGGAGGTAACAAACATTTGACTTTTGAACTTTCTTTTTCAAGTCGGTCGAAAAAATATATTATTTTATTTTTATTACTTGCGTGTGTTCGTTATGCACTTATTAATTTTCAGACGGCCGAAAAGTCCCGACATCTGATTACACAGATATCACGCCAATTCTAGAAGACACAGAGCCCCAACCACACAACATTTCCCAGGCGCAGACATTTGAACACTTCAGTGAACTGTCAAAAGGGAATGCGCGGGAAAATTCGGATACGTTAACAGTGATTGCCGTCAGTGTTTGGTCGATTTTAAATATTAGATTAATTTTTTAGTTTTCTAACTTTTAAGTGCAATAATATGTTTTAATTCTTATTTTTTGAATAATGATCTTGAATTTCTAACTTTAATCAGATTACAACAATTAAAAGATTTCTTCTAAAAACAACTAATTTGTATAATTTCATGGCAGTATCTAAGGGTCATACTTCTGTCACGGCCTATGAAAACGCTGTCACGGCCTATGAAAACGCTGTCACGGCCTATGAAAACGCTCTTAATTAATTAATTTTAATTTAAAAAAATCTGTCTCTGAATAAGGTACGTGCCATCTATTTAATTGTCCGAGTTCATCATCTGCGTAGACCCATGGCTTGATATCTTTGATGTAAAGTCATAAGACTTAATAATCTGGGTAGAAGTGACACTCGTGTACTTTGTTAGTGTACCGATGTCGATAAAATGATAAAACTTCTTCTCAATCTGATAGGATTGTCACAAGTTTATATTCATTTAATAAATTACTATGTCATATATAAATGAAAAAATGCAATTCCTTATCAAAAAGTAGGGCGACTCTGCCAGTCAAGAGAAACGACGATACATACAATTCAACAATTTATTTACAACATGGATTTTCAACGTGATTGATTTTCATCCAGACAAATCATAGTTGTAATAAAGGACCTATCATCAACGTAATAAAATAAATAATAAAGAATATATAATCTAGGTATAATAAAATAGATCAAATAAATATTAATTAAAGTTATAAAAAAAACAATAAATTTCATTTTTGTAATCATATAATTTTTTTACGGTTGTTAAGTAATTATGAACATCGGTATTTAAATTGGTAAAATAGAAAAAAAAAACAAAGTCCTATTTTGTAGTTTAAGATTAAACATGCTTTCTGAGTAGTGTATGACCTTTCAGATTAAAGGAATCTAGTTCTTGTGGACGAACTATTATTGTTAAATTGGCAGGAGTGGCACTTCTACCTACTCCCCTTTCTCTTGATAATGTTTTAATGTTTAATAATTTACTTCTTGCCCTATAATGATTGATGTTCCTTCCAATAGCAAGTAAGCTAGTGTAAATATTTATTATTAAATAAGTATACATTAAAGGTTATACCTAACTTATTTTTTTTTTATTAAAATCTCCTATTAACACTAACACCAACGTATTTTTTTTTGATGGGTGAAAATGGTATGGTAATCCCGCCTGCGCTAACGGTATACGCTGGCGGAGCAACAGTGAAGGGTGATAGATGAGAATGAAAACAGGCCAGTTAGCCCATCATGATGAATTCATCAGGAATTAAGCATGATAGTTTCCAGGGGGAACCGCGAGGAGGTCGACCTGGTTGGATATATTGCTAGCAATGGGATTCTCAGTCTCCATTACTAACAATCCCTTTCCCCCCACACCAACGTATTTAGAGTGGGAGCCCGGTGTCGTGCCCACTACAGAATTGTCTAGTGCCCACCCAAGGGCTAAGGTTTTAGCTACAGACGTGTCTCAGAGTATATATAGCCCTTTTTTATGGAGCCAGGACTCCCTCGAAAAAAAATACGATAGTAAAAACCGATCCTGCAGTTTTTTTATAGATGAAGATGGAATGAGGCACCCGCTTATACTAACGGCATACAATGACGGGGCACCAGTGGAGAATGGAATGATGAGAACGATAGTAGGTCAGATAGCATGACGTGATAAACAAATATCCGCGATGGTTTCTATGGATGATAATAGAATGGTAACCCCGCTTGCGCTATCGGTTTACGCTGGCGGGGCACCAGTGAGGGATAATAGGGGAGAATGAAAAAGCAGGTCAGTTAGTCCATCAGGATGAACACATCTGGAATTCAGTAAGATGGTTTCAATGGGGAACCACGTGGAGGTTGACTTGATAGGGTATATTGCTAACAATGGGACTGGTAGTTCGCATTACTAACAATCTTCCCCCTCCCCCCTTAGCAACGAGAATTAGGGACACTAGTAATTTTTTGCCTTGCTATTTAAATGATAATGGAATGGTAACCCGGCTTGCACTAACGGTATACACGGTCGGGGCACCAGTGAAGGATGATAGGTGAGAATGAAAAAACAGGTCAGTCCATCAGGATGAACACATCTGGAATTCAACAAGATATTTTCAATGGGGAACCACGTGGAAGACGTCCTGAGAGGGTATATTGCTAACAGAACTGGTAATCCGCTTTACTACCAATTTCTTCCCTTTGAATTGCGATTATCAGGTCCACCTCCACGCGGTCCATTTAGAAGCCATCGTAGTTGTTATTAAGAATCCATCACAAGTCTAGACAAGTGTTAGAAATACTTGACTAGTAGTGTTCCTTCTGCATATTTGTTACCATTCGTTTGTTTATAATAATTACGTCCCGTGTGAAACTAGTGCTCAGTGTTACTCCTTTATTTTGGGGTTTTGGGCGTTCTGAGAGCGAACCTCGAGTCGAACGCTTGTGCTTAACTTATTGATTGTGAAATATAAAATTATATTTATTTTTATAAATACATACATAGAAAGTACCCAGACCGAGATAAGTATATTCCGAGTATATTAAAATTTTTGTATTTTACGGAAATCGAACCCGTAACTATGACTGGAAGATGAAGTGGCGTATTAATCCGCCACACCGTCAAGGTGGTAAATGATATAAAACAGTATATGTACGATTATTTATTTAATATTTCAATACATTTATCATCCGTTAAACAAGTTTTTCAGTTTCTTTTTTTTGGATATCTCATTCAACCATTATCGACTTTGTAACTGGCAAATTTGTGAATCGTCCAATATGCTTAATTTATATATATGATCGAGACACTAAACACTGATATTTTAGTTTTATATCTTATAAGAATTAAATTCACTACAGTAAATATTTAAGTCTCTTTATATTTCTTTATGGAACATAATAATTTTGGATATCATTTCAACCAATCTCATACCAAGATGTTAATATTTAAAAAACAGTAAAATACAGTTCTTAAATATATAATTAAACATTTAATACAATTACTTATTTAATACAATATTTAAATTTGTTTATGCGGAGTAACAAAGTTTTAACGGAAAAAGTCCAGGCGACCGTGTAAGGGGGCCTTACGCTGGCGTATTCATCACCTTATAATATGTTATCTGTCATTCTATTTTTTTTTTTCGTCTTACGTTCCTGTCTCTGTAATCGCAAAAGTGATTCGAATGAGCCAAATCACTTGTGCAAATGAAAATATAAAATCTAAATTAGTTTCCACAAGTTGAGCCCTTTATCTCATGAAAACATATAAGATTTTATATTTTACGTTTTAAATTTTAATTATTTCGTTTTTTTTTTTTTAATTCAATCACGAGTGCAAGACCCCAAACATAGGGTGTGCCTGAGATCTTTTCCGCGACAATCTTATTTATAAATATACAAAAACATTTGGTCGTTTTTATTTATTCTTTTTTTTTTTTTATTAAACAGAATGAGTAAATAAATGTGAATGAATGGAAAAAATACTGATCATTATAAAGACTAGACAAATTTAATATCGTAAAGAAATGGTGACGAGAATGCGTGTGATTTACAATTATATATATTATATTACTTAAAATCTAGTCACGAATTTATGTAAAATTTACCACATGAACATTTATATAATGCTTAAAAACTCTCAACGTATTAATGTCAACTATATTTAAACACTAATAATAAATATGATGCTGTTTAAAGTGACATTACGATTACATTAAGTTTTACATTTAATTTCTTAATAGAAGAAAAATGTCGGCGAAAGAAAAAAAATATTTATAAAAAAAAAATACAACTTTAAAAAGAAATGCTGCACTAGGTAACATTACTACCCGTATTTGCAAATAATTCTAATTACAAAAAAAGTTGAGTACACTAATGTACGTAATAGAAAAATGTTTTTTTTTTTTTCTGTAGACGCACACACTTGTCATGGATAAAGGCTAAGGAACATGATAAGCGCGTATGTATAAAGAGAATAACAATAATGAGATATGTTAACTTTTGTATATAGTAATATATATTTATTATTTGTCTACGCCAAACATATATATAGAATTTCCACAACTGTAACTGTTGAGATTACGTAAACAGATCTAATTATAAACGATTACCGACAGAAAAAACACTAAATCCGAAATGGAAGACTGAAATTTGCGTGAAAAAACAATGGAAATATATTCAATTCAAACATCGTAGGTACATTTTATTTATGGCACAATACACATTTCATGAACTGCAGACATTTCTGAACCATGGCGAATTAGCAAGCCCTTCCAAATATTAACCGCTAAAAACACTGAATATTTAAAAATAGTTCTTATAAAGTGGCAACATTGCGGCAACAGATTTAAAAATGTCCCTCGCAAGCTTGGAAAGTCGTTTTGGATTTTCACTTCACTAGTGTTGCCACTTATAAATATTTAAGAGTTCCAACATTCTCACTACACCACAGAATATTCAGTGTTGCCACTGTCACTGCAACACTAAAATCACTTTATGCACTATGTTCATAGCACAAATTCCATTTTCACTTAACGACTCTGAATGCCACAAATTAACACTATTTCTCTACAAGTTTAAAACTTGTTTTTAGTTCATTATTAACAACCTTTTGAGGATTTAGTAATTCTTGTTCTCTAAATATTTCACACCATTCGCTGATGCCTCAAACTTATAATTATATCGGATGATAATACAGAAATAGAGTGTTCTAGATATTGGTGTTGATGCCTACAAAAATGATCGTGTCGAACTTTGTCTTTGCTCAACCAATTCTTCAAATTGAGGTCAAATCTTCAATTAACTTGCAAACAGCATACTTCACTTCGTCCCATACTGTTTTGTAGACCACAATTCAAACCAATCTATGGTTTTATCTGTACATATTGCTTCTAATATTTAGGAGGTAATGGGGCAGATTATGAAGTCATTCCACACTAATTTCTGGTCTCTAAAACTCACAAATTTTAGAGATGCAGATAGAAAGTTTAAATGTATGATGTTAAAATGCTTTTCTGTAAAATTATCTCTTAAAATAGATTAACATTTTAGAGAATGTAGGGATTTGAAAGTATCATTCTCTAAATCTCTCTAAAACTAGATTTTAGTTTTTAATAGCGAAATCTTCTAACGATCATCGTGAACTAAATTTATAGTAGATTAAACTTTAAATTTAGTTCAAAATGGCTTAATAATAAATACTTTCTTTTAATATTAAATTAAAATTTGATTTTAAGAGATAACTTTAAGAAAAAGCATTTAATCGACTCCAATGACATTTCGGAACTGCCCCCATTGTTTAATGGTGGGGTGAGTGGAGCTATTGGTGGGGCGAGTAGTGCCCACAGCGCAGCAGTAAGTAGCAGCACAGGCGAGGCCCACCTGTCTACTAGCGCATATTCTGGAATAAAATAATATTTAAGTTAAATTTATTCAAAGGGTTTTTTTTTATCATTATTATTCTAAATAGAAAAGGTATAGATTTAAAGGATAATTTTGTGTACATTAAGAGAATATGAAAGAAACTTGGTCTGAGTTATGACCATAGATATTTGTTACCTGTACTTCATAGGACAAGCTTTTTTTACTTGAGTTCCAGGTGATCAGTATAATTGTGTGGAATTAAAAAAAAATTGAGTTTATTATATACTAGCTGTATCCCGTAGCTTTGCCCGCGTGAATTAAAAAGTATATAAAGTATCCTATGTGCTACCCATGCACTAAATTTCATTTAATTCCATTTAGTTTTTTTTTTTTTTGCATGGAAAAGTAACTAATTCATCTTTACAAACTTTCATATTTACAATATTAATTACTTGAAATATTATAAATGTAAAAGTGTGTGTCTCTTGACATTTTAACAGTTGCATCTTGTATTGCAGTTTCCAACTATCGACAGAGAGTTAATAACGAGCTAGGCGTTCAAATTCAAATCCTCTTTATTATAATAGACTTGTTTACAAACACTTTTAAATCATTATTTTTTTTAATCTACTGCAGAGTTCGAAAAGTTGTTATCTATTGAGAAGAGCCCGCGAGAAACTCAATTACTCTTTTTTAAAATCTGTTAACACTATGTGTATTTCTTTAAATGTATTATATCTAAAATTACATGTTATTAAAAATTCTGTGCATGATCGACTAACCAAGCACACTTATTATTCAAGTAATCGTTTAGAATGTAATAGACTTTGTTGAATAAGTATTTATTAATAACAGTTTTAAATTAAATAAAAGGTAGAACCAAAATATTTTCCGGTATCTTATTATAACATTTAATGTCCATTCCCAAAAAATCTATCAACTTTTTCTAAACAATACTTAGGAACAGCAAGTTTGTACTTGTATCTAGTGTTAAGACTATTGAGATCGCTGTTTTTACGAAACAGTTGAAGATTAATGTGTATATATAAAATGTTTGCATATATGTACTGTAAAACTACTTTAATTTTTTTTTTATACAACTTAGAATGGCAAACAAGCTGACGGTCCACCTGATGGAAAGTGGTAACCGTCGCCTATAGACATGAGCAGTACCATGGACATAACAGTATACTGTTTCGCCCAAGATACCCCCCATGCGTTGCCGTTCCTGAGGACTAAGATGTTATTCCTCTTACACATACATATATGCAAACATTTTGTATATATATTACTAAAAGTGCTTGTTTGCTTTCAATAAGTGTTTATGAATAATAGTTGTAAATGTATTAAAAGGTAGATCCAAAATAATTAGTGGTGTATACCGTCAGCGGTGGCACGGCGCCGCTAGTGGGGTGGGTGCGGATGCGGTTGGGGCGGGTGCGGGCGGTGGGGCGAGTGGTGGCCGCCGGCGAGGCTGGCGGCGCGGGCGGCGCGGTGGCCGCAGCGCAGCGGCGCGTAGCAGCACAGGCACGGCACCAGCAGGCTCAGCAGCGTTATACCCACCCACCTGCGACCACACCGCAGAGGGGGGAAAGGGATTGTTAGTAATGGAGACTGAGAATCCCATTGCTAGCAATATACCCAACCAGATCGATCTCCTCGCGGTTCCCCCTGGAAACTATCGTGGTTAATTCCTAATGAATTCATCATGATGGGCTAACTGGCCTGTTTTCATTTTCATCGATCACCCTTTACTGGTGCTCCGCCAGCGCATCCCGTTAGCGCAGGCGTGGTTACCATACCATTTTCACACATCAAAAAAAAAAAACATACGGCAGATTTGTACTATTTATTCACTAATGAATGATGACCTTCTTTTTTATCATCAATATCCGTAGGAACCCAATATATAGATATCAGGGCGATACCAATATCCCTAATTGATCATATTAATCATCCCTAATTTTTTTATGCAATTTCGAATGGCAAAAGCACTGATGGCCCACCTGATGAAAAGTGGTGAAAAAATAGAAAAAAAAAAAAGAAACCGTCATCTATAGATATGAACAGTACCACGGACATAACAAAGTATGCATTGCCATGCCTGAGGATTAAAATGTAATGTCTCTGATCCATGTAAATGTAAAAAAAAAAAACTGCAAAATGCATAGATATGTGGAGAACGTTTTAAAGTATTGAAGAAAGTGGATGATTGTATGTACAAAAGACCGAAATACTAAGAGATTAATGAATTGTATGAAAGTAATACTCAGATGAAGGGAATAGGACATTATATTACGTCGACCACAAAATATTAGGAAGATTTATTTATGTATTTATTCTTTATTGCACAAATGGCGAACTTAATGCTGTATGGCATTCTCTATCGGCTAATCATAAGGTATAAACAGAAATTGTTTGAGGGGAGTGGTGGCGAACATACATTACACAAAAAAAGTACCTATTAAGATAAATTGAGATAGTAATATCATACTAAATAATATATTATAAATATATATATTAAGTTCGACCGCCGAGAGGTTCCCCATGGATTTGATTGTATTATATAAATCATGGATTGATTTATTGTTAGATTCGTCACAGTGGGCTAACTGACCTGTTTCATCCTAACCTATCATTCCCATAAGGGGGAAAGGGATTGTTAGTAATGGAAAGACTTAGAATACCATTGCTAGCAATATACCCAACCAGGTCGACCTCCTCGCGGTTATCCCTGGAAACTATTATGGTTAATTCCTGATGGGCTAACTGGCCTGTTTTCATTCTCATCTCTTCACTGATGCTCCACCAGCGTATCCCGTCAGTGCAGGCGGGGTTATCATTCTATTTTCACCCATAAAAAAAAACCTATCATTCCACACTGGTGCCCCGCTAGTGTATATCGATAGCGCAGGCAGGGTTACCATTCAATTATCATCCATAAAAAAAAACAACCCACTAAGAGTTGTTTAGCAGTGGACAGTTACAGGCTGATATGATGATGAGTATGAAAGAATGAATTATAAACTGACCGCTTAGCGCAGGCTTCGTCCGGCGGCCCACACGAACACGGGTGCATCGCGAAGTCACCTTCAGCGTCCGACATGCAGTGGTACAACATACCCTGGAAAGTAATATAAATTAATAGTTTATTTCTCTCTTCATAAAAGGTAATAAAAAGTACCAGCTTGAGGTATGTGAGACCAGATTTGTGAGAAACTGGTAGGGGTAAAATATAAAAAATAAATATTATTATATATTATTGTAACAAGACGATGTCTGTACATGGTAAAAAAAATTATAAGAGTAATAGAAATCAAAACATTTTTTAGGAATTGTGTCTGTCTGTACATATATTCCGGTATCGCCCAAAAACTACTACCCCAAAATTAGGTGCAGTTGACAGCTTGCTAGCAATACACCCTGTGAAGTTGACATCGACGTGCCCCCTCCCCCCCGCCCGGAAACCATAGTGAATTATTTACATATAGTTTAACTCGTCACGTTGGACTAAATGACCTGTTTAATCTTCACCTATCGTCTCTCACTGCTGCTTCACCAGCGTATACCGTTAGCGTTACCATTCCAATATCACCCATTAAACTAAAAACCACGTAGATGTGTTTACCTGCGCGCACTTGATGCAGGTGACGGCGTCGATGCAGGCGCGGCAGCAGTCGGGCGCGTACTCGCAGGCGCCGGCGCGGTTGGCGCTCTCCAGGTACCACTCGTGGCAGTGTCTGCGCACAATACCAACATACACATATATAGGATTTTTTTTTAATTATTTATTTATCACTACATAGTACAAAACAAAGTCGCTGTCGCTGTCTGTCCGTCCCTATGGATGCTTAAATCTTGAAAACTAAGCAACAAATTTTAATGCGTTTTTTTAATAGATAGAGGGATTCAAGAAGCTTTACATGTATAATACATGCATAATACAGTAGAGAAACCCTGGTAATTTTAGACGTTTCTGATGGGCCCGCAGCGCTATTTAGTATCAGTACGGCACCCGTGCGAAGTCGGGTCGGATCGCTAGTTATATATATAAAAGCTTATAAAACAATGTTCATATAATATAAACTAACCCTTTTATTGATAATAACGTCAAATCTCTCATAAATCGATTTTAGCTTATGAGCTGTTTATTTAGGGGGGTAGGGTCGACCTCCACGCGGTTCCCACTAGAAACCATCGTGACTAATTTATCGTTGAATTCGTCACGATAGACTAACCGACCTGCTTTTTCATCTTCACCTATCATCCCTCACTGGTGTCCCGCCAGTGTACATCGATAGTGCAGGCGGGGTTACCATTCCATTATCATTCATTAAAAAAACTGTTTATTTATTTATTTATATGCCTTTATACATTCACGTTTAATATTGATATTAGGATCTAATGTATTTGAATTGAACGACTTAAATATATTAGAAATTTAATTAATACAGGTCATTAGAATAATTTTTTTTTGGCAGTAAAATCAAAGTGAAATTATAAATTTAGAAATTTAAAGAAATTATGTTTCTAAATTGGCATCATTGACTATCACAAAATCAATACTGATAGAAACTGACAACTGCAGTGTTCTACAGTGTTCTGTGAACACACCAGTAAGTATATGTATATATATATATATATATATATATATATATATATATATATATATATATATATATATATATATATATATATATATATATATATATATATATATATATCAGATATTACCCAACCCTACATACCAATCTACAACATAAAGTACTAAGAAAAGATTTTCGTTAAAAATATGAGTGTGTAAAATGTCCAAGTAAAGTCAGTATTTATTAAATAAATAAGTATTTAGTACAGTGCATACCTGCATTTGAGCCTCGCTTGAAACGGTTCCGTGGGTTTCTTTCCCGGCAATGGCGGCGGCCCGCTGTACCCGTGCAACTTCTTTATAGACCCTGTAGGGAGTGTATTCATTCTATTAATATCTGCTAGGAGATATTAAGGGAGAGGAATTGTTAGTAATGAAAACTAGCATTGCTAATCTTAGCACCCAATGCTAGCAATATGAAGAAAGCGTAACGTGAAGCAATTGTCTTTGCATTGTAGTGTTTTAGTTTGAAAGGTGGGATATGACAGTGAATTTACAGAGGAATAACATCCAAGTCTTCAAGAAGGGCACCGCGTAGGGGGTACCATGGGCGAAACAGTATACTCTTGTTAAGTCCATGGTACTGCTCATGTCTATAGGCGACAGTTACCACTTTCCATCAGGTAAGCCGTCAACTTGTTTGCAATTCTAAGTTAAATATATATATATATATATATATATATATATATATATATATATATATATATATATCCTGTCATGTTGATCTCCACGTGGTCCTCCCTTGAAATAATCGTGCTGAATTCCAGGTATTCATATTATACCACCATATTGATACCAGATATTTATCGTTATTGATACCAAGTATCAATATTGATGAATTCGACACGACAGGCCTTTCACTCTCAATTATCACCACTCACTGGTGCTCTGTCAGTACACACCGACAACGCAGGCGGGGTTACCATTCCATTATCACCTTTTAAAAAAGTATCGCGTCACACTCGCTTAAGACTGGGGGGAAAGGGATTGTTAGCAATGGGGTTTGACAGCCCCATTGCTAGCAATATGCCCTATTAGGTCGACCTCCACGTGGTTCCCCCTGGAAACCATCGTGACTAATTTTTTGTTGAATTTATCATGATGGGCCTACTGACCTGCTTCATCCTCACCTGTCATTCTTCACTGGTGCCCCGCCGGTGTATACCGATAGCGCCGATGGGGTTACCATTCCATTATCACCCATTAAAAAAAGTCGCTTAAGACTAAATGTCCGAGAAGGTTCCGAAACTAGTCGAGCTCTCTCGACCAAATTACACGGTTTGGTAATTATTAAATTAAAAATTTTAAAATATATTCAAGTCTATCAAGACGATAAATAGTCAGAAGCATTTGTCGACTATTGCTATGGTATATTATAATTAACATTACCCTCCCTTTTTTAGCAGTAGGATAAAAAATCTTACCAGAATCCCGTTTGAGTAGCGGCGGCTTGGTGTTTGGCGAGGATTTCTCCGACCCCGCCACCCCGCTGCTCACTTGTGGGTACGTGTAATCGTGGAACTGTAATTCATTGTAACAAATACTGAAATTCAAACACTGAAATGTTCAAATATATAGAATAGAAGAGAATAGAATGTTATTTCTGTGTACATCGTCATCATATCAGCCTTTAACTGTCCACTGCTGAACATAAGCCTCCCCCTTGGGGGGTTTTGCACATAGTTGCCACGCTTGGCAGGCGGATTAGTAACCGCAGTTAGGCTTTAGAGATGTTTAAGAGAAGTAAAGAGATGTTTAAGAGAAGTAAACAGAGCATGCATTCTGCTTAGGTAATCTTCTATACTTATAATAAATCTGTGGAGAGGTCAATTCTGTACATGAAATATATTTCCAAAATAACTATCAGGGGGTAATTAGTGATCGATACTGATGCCAAAAATACAGTACAATTTTTGTCTGTCTGTCTGTCTGTATGTTCGTTATAGAACAACAAACTTGGTACAATTATTCTTCATACTAATGGGCAGGTTATAGTATACTTTTCATCATGCTACGATCAATAGGAGCAGAGCAGTGAAGGGAAACGTTAAAATAGTCCACCCGTGCGACGCTGGGACGGGCCGCAAGTAATATAATAAAATTACAGGGTACAGAAACAAAATATCACAATCCTCTGGAACGATAATGCGTATGGGGTATCATGGGCATCACAGTGTATTTAGCATTAAAATGAATCTACGTTACTAGTTTGCCAATACTAATATAAGACATATTTTCTGTAATTTGGAATTTAGTAATAATAAATAAAAAAAAAAAAGAATTGAAGCTGAAAATTTGTAATCAAGTATATTGATGGGTATTTTGAGAGTTACATGGTTTAAGTACGTAAGAAAAGTAAAAAAAAAAAAACGTATAAAGCTGTGTACACACCGGCGTGAGCCTCACGTACGGACACCGGTCTGGATCCGAGTCGTCGGCCGCTTTATCTTCGTACTGCACCTCGTATTGTTTCAGCGATTCTGTAATTTTCATAGATTTAGTATTTTTTATTATTATTATAGGGGGGAAAGGGATTGTTAGTAATAGAGACTAAAATCCCATTGCTAGCAATATATATAAAGCAAAATATACATTCTCCCACTTCTTTTTCAGCTATTAAGCAGTTATGCTTGCATGACCTTCACATGGTCCCCCTTGGAAACCATTGTGCTGAATTACAGTTGTATTCATCAGGGAAGAAAAGGATGTAGTAATGGAGACTGAGAATCCCATTGCTAGCAATATATCCAACCAGGTCGACCTCATTGTGGTTCCCCTTGGAAACTATCATGGTTAATTCCTGATGAGCTCATCATGATGGGCTAACTGGCCTGTTTTAATTCTCATCGATTACCATTCACTGCTGCTCCGCTAGCGTATTCTGTTAGCGAAGGCGGGGTTACCATTCCATTTTAACCCATTAAAAAAAAACCTTAGACTATATAGATAGAGTGTCTCCATACAAATGCTTTGAGAAAAGCGGGTCTTTTTCATACAATTTTGCATGATAAATAGATATAAGTGACGCCTTTATAATTTATTTATTAACATAACGCATTAAAAAGATGCAGAAGTTATAAAACAATTATAACTTCTGCATCTTTTTAATGCGTAAATATTTATTTTATTTATTAATAATACGTCAATATACATGGCGGCCGTAAGCATATAAAACACTAACAAAAAATACTTTTTTTTATACAACTTAGAATGGCATCCAAGTTGACGGCCCAACTGTTGGAAAGTGATAACCGTCGCCTATAGACATAAGCAGTACCATGGACTGGACTGGATCTAGGAGCAGCGCTTTCTGCATCTATCCCGGGAATGAGCCGCCTCGGAATCCCAACCGTCTGCGATATTTTACCATTATAAAGTAATATTTACCATTATAAGGTAATATTTACTATTATAAGGTAGTATTTATTACTTGTTTGTTTATCCTAGTTTGAGGAGCATGTGATTGATGTGATCTCCTTATAATTATTTATATTTACACTACGATACCTGTGAGTGGGTGCCGTGGCCGCGGCAGCGTGATGGCGGAGAGGATGGGCGTCTGCGTGAGGTCGTCGGGCGGCCGCCGCCGGCCGCGGCTTGCCGTCGAGTTCTCCGAGCTCGACCGCGAGTCCGACGGCAGGTTCAGACACTGCGGTCCAATATGTATCAGTGAATTAATGTTTTTTTTTTTTTTTTATATATATAATAAAAGTGGCAAGCAAGTAAACAGCTTTGACTAATGATAAACGATCACTGGGGGATTGTTAGTAATGTGGTCTGCCAGTACCATTGCTAGCAATATACTCTATCAGGTCATCTTCCATGCGGTTTCCTTTGGTTAATTTTTGTGGAATTTGTCACAATGAGCTAAATGGTCTGCTTTCATCCTCACCTATTATCCTTCATTGATGCCCTGCCATCTGCCAGTGTCTATCGATAGCACGCTATATATGCAGTAAACGCTGACAAGGCACCATTGAGAGATGATAGGTGAAGATGAAAGCAGGTCAGTTGATCCATTGTGACCAATTTATTAATTATTAAGCACAGTGGTTTCCAGGAGAAACCACGTGGAGGTCGACCTGTTAGAGTTAGCACTGGGGCTGTTATATTGTATAGACCGTATTACTAACAACCCCTTTCCCCCCGAGATGACAGGTTAGGATGACGCAGATCAGTTTTCAGGGAGAACCGCGTGAAAATCAGCCTGACAGGATCGTTAGCGTAGATTGGTACACCATTCCTTCCATCCATAAACAAAATTGATTATCTCACCTCAAAAATATTTTGCTCCTCGTCGTCCTCTTTGGGCGCTGGATTGTGTTTTTTGTAGGCATGAAGTGATGGCCACGCCCCACCCAGACCTGCGAACAAAAATTCAATATATAAAAATCACCATAATAATATATTAATGATCATCTTATATATTAATTAAATTATTTATAATGTCAATATATAAAAAAAAAAAAATGTGAATTTACTGGGTACAGAGGAATAACACCTGAGTCCTCAGGAATGGCAACGCATGGGGGGTATCATGTGTGAAACAGTATACTCTGTTATGTCCATGGTACTGCTTATGTCTATAGGCGACGGTTACCACTTTCCATCTGGTGGGCCGTCAGCTTGTTTGCCATTCTAAGTTGTATAAAAAAAAAAACCCATTTTAGCTATTGAACTGTTTTGTCTCTTTCTTTTTGCACTAAATTCCTATGTTTTGTATGTGTATATGTATGTATATATGTTTGTATATGATAATATTTATATAATAGTGCGCCACCTGCCCTTTGTCTTTTTCTCAATGTCCTCTACCCAAAGGTTGTCTGGAAGAGATTGCTTAGCGATAAGGCCGCCTTTTGTACCTCACTTCTCATTAATATTTACTGTATTTGTTATTTTTCTTTTTACTTGGTGCAATAAAAAATAAAATAAATAAATCCCTATTTTGAAAGAAAGTGACAAAACAGTCCAAAATTTAAAATAGATTTGTAGATTTTAGTTTGTATAAATAAGAGGGTATATCTATTCTATATTTAGACTTACCATGTAGGAATCCAGTATACGGTAGAGGGGAGGCAAAAAGAAAGCACATTAGATAAATTAGTTCCGACATAATCAGAATATTATTAGAACGTCTGAATCCACAATTGTAGCTTCGGTAGAGAACCATTGTTCCTCGTTGTGCATTACTTAACTAGCTACATAGTATATTTAACGGTAAACTATTTAAACTCAAACTTTTTCTTGTATATAAATTATGACGTACAAGGTGAAATCTATAAAATTGTAACTGAACGATATTTGCAAAGAAAACTATTAAGAGAAATCTATATAAGCGGTCTTAATTCTTTAATTAATAAATATTATTTCAATTTATTAAGGTAATGATTAATTATTTAATTAATTTTGAATTCAAAACAGTAATTTTAAGTAATTTCTATCTATTTGTTCCGGCGTCAGTCGAAACTGCTACACCAAAATTGGATACGGTTTTCAGAATTGTGTCCTGAAAGTTAACTCAAAATTGGGTGTATTTTTTATTTTGATAATGGTTACCTATCTACTTCCAAAAACTACTTTTAAAACACTAATTTTATTTATTAAATAATACCTCAAGATACATGTTATGCTTAAGAACACTAATAAAAAAACGAGTCGGCTAATTTGACAATTAACTGACAAAAAGTTGACCCGTTTTTGAGGCTCGATGCTCTATTTATATAATCTAAGACCATGTTATGGAATCAATTAATAGGGGGCAACAGATTGTTAGTAATGGAGAGGGTAGTCCCCATTGCTATCAAAGTATTCTATCAGGTCGACCTCCACGCGGTTCCACCTGGAAACTATCTGAAGAATACTGAAGGGGTGTCTACTAGTGAGCGGAATAAAATAGATGTGTACTCAACGCCGTTTATTTCCAGACAGGAGACTACAATAAAAATTTGTACCCACAAAAAAGGCAATATAAAAATAAGTATGAAACTACCTCCATACATTACACTATCATGTTTAATTCTTATCGAATTCAACATGATGAGCCAACTGACCTGCATTCATTCTCACCTATCATCTTCCACTGGTGCCCCGCCAGAGTATATCGATAGCGCGGGCGGGGTTACCATTCCATTTTCATCCATTAAAAAAAACTGCCTAACTGATCAGCGTAAACTAATCGTCTACTTACCGTCCAGTAACTCCTCGATCGCTGTCCTCACGCCCTTGTCGAACGCCCTGGCGTCGGCCGCCGTCTGGAACGTGAGCCCGAACCTCTTCTCGTCAGTCACCCAGTGGTGGAACGTCGGCATCACCTTGTTGTACTGGAAGTCTTTCTTTATGGTACATTCTAGAACCACCTGGAATTCAGAAGCGGTTACCGTCACTAAGGAACACTTTTTACAAGCTATTATTTTACCAGAGGGAGAGTTTGTACAAAGGTAGTTTACTTGGACACCTCTGTCCCATTCGTGTTTCAACCGTGAAGTAGTTTTGTTTGCATGGCTGTGTTTCGTTTTGAAGGGTGTGATATGGCAGTGAATTTACAGGTTATAGAAGAATAACATTCGAGTCCTCAGGAATGGCAACGCATGGGGGGTATCATGGGCGAAACAGTATACTTTGTTATGTCCATGGTACTGCTCATGTCTATAGGCGACGGTTACCTGTTTCCATCAGGTGGGCCGTCAGTTTGTTTGCCATTCTAAGTTGTATAAAAAAATATTTAAACCTTAATATCTATTATTCTCATTTTCGTTTATAATATAGTATATGTCATATATGTGTAAGTATATTTGTTATTTATATATATTTATTCGTTTATATATGTAATTTTAGTATGTATGTATATCAATAATTACTAGTACCGCATTCGAGTATTCTGACACTTCCCTAAGGTTGACTGGGAGAGAATGCTTTTAGCATTAAGTCCGCCATGTACACATATATTTTTTTTTATACAACTTAGAATGGCAAACAAGCTGACGGCCCATCTGATGGAAAGTGGTAACCGTCGCCTATAGACATGAGCAGTACCATGGACATAACAGAGTATACTGTTTCGCCCACGATACTCCCCTTGCGTTGCCATTCCTTAGGACTCAGGTGTTATTCCTCTGTACCCTGTAAATTCACGCCATATCCCACCCTTCAAACCGAAACACAGCCATGCAAACACAACTGCTTCATGGTAGAAACACGAATGGGACAGAGGTACCCAAGCAATCGACTTTTGTACAAAGTCTCCCTCTGTATATGTACTAATGAATAAATAAATAAAACAAAAAACATAAAATACTTGTAAGCTCACCATATTATCGCTAATCCGTTTTCCGTGTATGAAATATTCGTGTGAAGGTGCGTTCGTAGACGAAGATGTTGTGTCGCCGTTGCTATCACCACCGCCTGCTGGAGAATATTCTCGATTTACGTGATTTAAAAAAAAAAAGAAGTTTATTTTTAAATAGCCACGTGAACTGGGTGTAATGTTTCTAAGTGTTATGTTTGAGGTAGTGATTTGCTAAGACAAATGTGTATGGTATTAGTCGATAATGCATGGGATTATAACCTATATTTTTGGATTACATTTAAATAAATACATATAAAGTTAACTAAATTTAAAAGAGTAACTGTTGAGTTTCTTGCGGGCTCTTCTCAACAGATAACAACTTTCCGAACCCTACAATAGATATAAAAAAAAATACGATTAAAAACTACTTGTAAATAAGTCTATTTGAACCAAGATGATTTGAATCAGGTTGATTCAAATACCTTCTAGGTACTCGAGTACTCGAATACTTAACATATACAGTACTCCGGTATCTCTACTTGTCCAAGATCCGAATAAAGATTCGATTTCTTTTAAATTATTATATAAAATATTTAAATACACCGATTTTGCTACTAAGTGGATAAGTTGTCGGTCGCTGACGTTGTTGTTCTGGAGAGGTACTATTTTTTTTTTTAATGGGTAATAATAGAATAGTAACCCCACCTGCGCTATCGGTATACGCTGACGGGGCACAAGTAAGAGATGATAGATGAGGATGAAAGCAGGTCAAATAGCCCAGGTTTAGGATTGAAATGGAGTATGGTTATGGGTTTAGAAGTACTTGTGAGTTTTGGTGTAGGATTTGGGAAATATATTTAGGGTAGTTGGTGAGAATTAAGGATGGATTGTGGAGCTATGTAAGGTTTGTGGGTTCTGCTTTTGCCTCTAGGGTCGCCGGTCAAGGGCTACCACATATTGAATCGCCTCTCCTTCGTAAGTTCGGTTTACCGCGACCTTTTTTTGGATTTACAGGGATCAGGGGACCAAGCAGTCAATAATGACCGATGCGTACAAAAATAAAAATGAATTCAAAAGATCTTAATTGAAAGGCAAAAGTTAGATTTTCCAGCAAGTTACCTCTATGTTCCATTTGTCTGCTAGATAGACTGTCATATCTGTCTGTTTTACTGTATACATAGATAATCTGGTAGTATTGTTTTACTGTTACCCTATTCCTTTTGGCCACAACAGAATATCAGTGCTTTCTCTTTTGAGGGCGAAGCAATAAACTGAATTGTGACCATTTTGTATTGTTATGGCACACGCACAAAAGAAAAATTGTACTTAGATTTATGAATTTTTTTAAATCATTTATGTTATCTCGCTTTTTATGTATATCTATATATGTTGTAATTTGTGTGCTGTAAGTGATGCAAATAAATTATCTATCTATCTATCTACAGTACTAACCTGTGGGACGGTGCGCGTGACGGGCCCGCTTGCCGACCATGACGTCGGCGAGCCCGCCACCGCCCAGCGCCACCCAGCCGCCCGTGCCCTCGTCGCGGCACATCACCTGCGCACGCACGCGCACCAAGTAGGCACTGCAACCATACAAACATAAATACATTAATACACATACAAGAAACGAGTATGTAAAATAAAAAAAAATTAGTCATGCCTGCCATGTCTAATTGGGTCTTCATATCAGCACTGTCCACTATTGAACCTAAGCTAGGGAGGTTTTGGCAGTAGTTGCCACGCTTGGCAGGCGGATTGACAACTGCAGTTTTTTTTATGGGCGATAATGGAATGGCAACCCCACCCGTGCTATCGGTATACATCGGCGGGGCACCAGTGAAAGATGATAGGTGAGGATGAAGCAAGTCAGTTAGCCCATCGTGACGAATTCAACAAGAATTGTTCACAATGGTTTCCAGGGGAAACGACGTGGAGGTCGGCCTAATAGGGCATATTGCTAGCAATGGGGCTGTCAAACTCCATTGCTAACAATCCCTTTCCCCCTGACAACCGCAATTAGGCTTTGTAAATGTTTTAAGGACGCTACTGACTTACGACACCCACGATGAAGCAAGGGGTGGCCTATTCTATGCCGGGACCACACGGAATAACTAATCGTCATTAGTTTTTTTTTTTTTACAACACAGGGGACAAACGAGCATGCGGCTCACCTGATGGTAAGTGACTACCGCCGCCCATGATCACCCACAACACCAGCGGCATTGCAGGTGTGCTTAGTATATAAATCTATTTATGTAATATGGAATATCACCAAATAACTTATGGTTTTATGCATGCATGTCTTCACAAAATACTTTTATATTATTGCATTAATGGGTTATAATGATTTTACAATTATTACTTGATACCCTGTTGGGTGCACAAATGTTTCATCATCAGCTATTGCTACTGTAATCATTAACATGCCCATATTTTATACTGAGCTTATTAAAATCCTCAAATGCATTGTAAGGAGTCAGTAGATGTAGGTGGCTCAGGACCGTTGCTTATGGCAGTCTATGGGGGAGGCCTATGTCCAGCAGTGGACGGATAATAGCCGAGTAAATGATGATGATGATGATATTAGAATCCAACATGGTAGAGGGCCAGCTCACCGCCATTTTTTAATTGTATTTATTTGGTTTACCGGTGTTACCATCATCATAAAGTTATTCAACGACCTTTGCGGTCTATGACCCTAATATATGTTTAAAAATTAATTAAAATGTAAACAAAAAAGAAATAATTTGACCAAAAATAGTCTGTTGACGTCCAACAGTAAATTACTAATCAAATAACGATTAACTAATTGAATTTTAATGTAAAAATAACGAATTAAGTGTACACGTTTTTAAGTGTATTTTCTGGATTATAATTAAAGATCCCAAAAAAGAAAACTTTAATTGTGACAAAAACAGTTATTTTGATATAAAAACTACTGAACCGATTCTGATAAAATTTCTATGGGAACAACATATGTAAGTATAATTTTTCAAATTAAAAAGAAAGTTCCGAAACGGTTTTTAACTGACGGAGTTGTAAGGTAACAAACATAACAAAAAAAAAAAAAACAAACAAAAGTAATACAACAGAATTGAGAACCTGCTTCTTTTTTTAGTTGGTTAAAAATTTATTAAATATTTCGATTTGCTGCTAATTTATTTTTAAGTGTATATCTGTGATAATTCTAACAAAATTTGGATATGTTACCGTTTCAATAAAAAGTTCTCTATTGAAAGTGTCTATAAATAATTATTTTTATGCAACTTTTATTTATTTATTTATTCATTAAAAATAATTATAACATTATAACAGCAAAAGCCAAATCAATGTTATAAACCTAGTGTGCTAACATACAAAATTATAATAAAGGTATTTATTTACTTCAAGTAAACTTCGAATGGTACACAAACTGACGCTACACCTGACGGAAAGTAGTCACCGTCGCCTATATACATGAATAGTACCGTGGACATAACAGAATATACTGCTCCTTTTATGATCCCTTCACGCGTTGCCATTCCTGAGGATTAAGGCGTTTTATTTTTTAATGGATGAGAACGGAAAGATAACCCCGTTTGTGCTAACGGTATACGCTGGCGGAGAACCAGTGAGAGATAATAGGTGAGATGAAAAGACAGGTCAGTTATCCCATAACTAATACACCAGTATAATAGCCCGTGAATAATACACAAGGATTTCAACACGATGGTTTCCAGGGGGGACCACGTGGAGGTCGTCCTGACAGGATATATTGCTAGCAATGGGACTGGTAGTCCGCATTACTAACAATCCCTATCCCCGAGCTAAGGTATTACGGCTCTGCACCCTGTAATTTCAATGGCATATTCCACTATTCAAACCGAAATACAGTCATGCAAACACGAAATATTACTGTGCAATAAGCGTAAAACTACAGAATATAATAATAGTACCCATAAAAATACTAATTCATAGCTGTTTCACACGTTTTAATTACCTACCCATAATTTGTTTTGTTCTATCATAATGACGATGGCTATACATAGAACATAATTGTAGAAATCAAATAAAAAAAAATGCAACGATTGTAGTAACACCTTCCGGTGATATAATACTATGAGAGAAACAATAGGCCGTCATAATATTTATCTTCACGGAGGATCCGGTAGGGGGTGGGCAGAGAGACGAATCACAAGTGCTAATTTTACATATTGCAGCTGCCACTATTATGTGCTTAATAATTTCACAGTATTTTAGGAGTAAAATTTTATATTAAAAAGGGTTATTAAATAATATAATAGCTGACCCGACAAACATTGTTCTGCCATTTTTTTTTTTTTTTTTTGGATAGGAACACCCTATTAACGTAGCGGTATGAAATATGCTATACAGCCTATTCTCATACCTAGCAAAATACATTAAAAATTTAAAAATCGGACAAGTCGTTTCGGAGTGAGACTACAAACACCGTGACACGATATATATATCTTTACCTTTTTCTATCCTTATTAATATTGTAATTGTGATAGTGAGTTTGTTTGTTACCTTATAACACATAAACAGTTTAACCAGTTCAGTATGAAATTATATACTTATCCATCCCATATGGTATACACATATTATATGGAAGGGAGAAGGGCATAGACATTTACCAGAGGGAGACTTTATACAAAAGTCGATTACTTGGGTACCTCTGTCCCATTCGTGTTTCAACCGTGAAGCAATTGTGTTTGCATGGCTGTGTTTTGGTTTGAAGGGTGGGATATGGCGTGAATTTACTGGGTACAGAGGAATAACACCCGAGTCCTCAGGAATGGCAACGCATGGGGGGTATCATGGGCGAAACAGTATACTGTATTATGTCCATGGTACTGCTCATGTCTATAGACGACGGTTACCACTTTCCATCAGGTGGACCGTCAGCTTGTTTGTCATTCTAAGTTGTATAAAAAAAAACAATTTTTTATCCCGGTAACACGGACAAAGTTGCAGGTAAAAGCTAGTTGTGTTATAAATCTAAAGCAATGGCCACACCAAGAGGTTTGCTAAGCGAACCTAACTTAGCGTACACGTGGCAGGATGACTTCTTATAAACTATTGTTTTTTTTTTGCAGAGCAAAAACACTGCTTATTGCGTAGCAAAATTTTACAAGTGGACAAAGGAGTTTAAAATATTTCAAATTCAAATATTTTTAATATAATGTATCTATACAATACATTTTGTCATTTATTGGTGTGTATTTTCATGACTGGAGTTTCTTTCTATTTACAGAGCTAACTGTATTTGTCATATCATACACGTGTAACCGTGGGTAAAGGTATCTTTAGTAAAGCGGCATACTCATCCAGGTGAACTAAAGCCTCAACAAAAAAAAAAAAAGGAATAAAATTGATAATTGATATAATTCTTTCTTCAGATTTTTTAAATAGATAAGGAATTGTTAATAATGGGGACTAGCAGCCCATTTGCTAGCAATATACTAGGGTATATTGCATATCAATCTCCATAAGGTCCCCATGGTTAATTCTTAAGGAATTCAAACTGATGGGCCAATTGACCTGCTTTCCTCCTCACCTATCAACTCTCACTGGTACTTCACCAGCATATAATATCATTACACATAGGGGGAAAGGGGTTGTTAGCAATAGAGTTCGACAGCCCCATTGCTAGCAATATGCCCTATTAGGTCGACCTCCAAGTGGTTCCCCCTGGAAACCATCGTGAACAATTCTTGTTGAATTCGTCACGATAGGCTTACTGACCTGCTTCATCTTCACCTATCATCTTTCATTGGTATTTCATACCGATAGCGCGGGTGGGGTTACCATTCCATTTAACCCATAAAAAAAAATATCATTATATATAGTTATAACAATATATATAGTTATCAGATCTACTATAAAATTTGTTTCGAAAGTGTTTTTATTTTATTGTAAATGCAAATGTAAATTGGACTCTATTTTTCGCGACTAGCCTCTCATTTGGGCCGTTGTGTGTATGAGTCGTGGCTAGTACAGCCAACCCAGCTGCGTACAGGAGCACAGAAGCTCCCTGCGATCTTTACAGGCCTCACGGGGCGACCTCACTATTCCGAGGATTTCTAAACGTTGAGGGGCCACATTTCAGGATTACGTGAACAGTGTCAAAAAGGCCTCGACATAGAGGGCTGTTTGTGGCTCCTTATTTTTATTTTACTTAATAATTCATAGTTAAAAAAAAGTCTTAATTATGTGTCTAGGTACTTAGTAATTAAAAATATACTTAACTTTTTTTATGCCAACTGTACCTATTTACGTCATGGTAATATAAAATGACAAATTATGTTAGTCATTTTATATTACCATTAAAGATTGTGCCGACAAAAAAAAGCGACATCAATTGTGAAAAAACCAGTTATTTTAATTTAAAAACTAAACTAGTGAACAGATGTTGATAAAATTTCCATGGAATCAAACTATAAGTATATCCTTTCAGATAAAAGAATAATTTTCTAAATCAGTTTAGAAATGACAAAGTTATTAAAAAACAAAAATTGAAAAAAAAACCGAATCAAGAACCTCCTTTTTGAAGTTGATTAAAAATATGTGTTCTCTTTGTATATTCTTGTATGTTAATGAAATACAAGCGCCAAAAGAAGGCATACCATCACAGTCCTCAGGAATGGCAATGCATGATGAGTACCATATCTGTGAGTGATATCAATGGTGCTGTTCATATTTGTAGGTGATGATAACTTCGCCCGCGCGCGCGTGGTGGGAAAGGGATAATGGGGTCTAACTGACCCATTGCTAGCAATGCACTCTATCAGGTCCGCCAAGTGGTTCCCCCTGGAAACCATTGTGATTAATTCTAGTAGAATTCGTCATGATGAGCTAACTGACCTACTTTCATCGTCACCTGTCATCAGGCTGGGTTACCATTCCATTATCACCCATTAAAAAAAAACCTCGCCCACGCTAATGGTATCCACTTTCATCCTCATCTATTAACCACAACTGGTGCTTTGCTATCCAATACCAATAGCACAGCTGGGATTACCATTTTATCATCCATTAAAAAAGATGAACAAATGGAAATAAAAATATCCTATATCTCAAACCGTGTGGTCCTAGCATAGAATAGGCCACCCCTTCCTTTCCCGTAGGTGTCGTAAGAGCAGACTAAGGAAGGGTGAGGGATGGGCAGCAAACCTCTTAAAACATCTCCAAAGCTTAACTGTGGTTGCCAATCCTTCTACTAAGCATGGCAACTACTGGCAAAACACCCCAAGATAGAGGTTTATGTTCAGCAATGGACAGTTAAAGGCTAATATGAAATATTTCAAATATATATAAGATTGAATTAATAATTTTGATATACAAATTTATATAATCTTGTTTCGCCTTTGTTACAATATTATAAATTTACAAAATTTTAATTTAAATAATTTACTTACAATTTCTATATATATCATTCATGATCTATCATAATACTGTACCATCAATCCATGTAACAATGGAATATAGAGCCATTATCTTTTAACTTCTAAAGGGAAGAAGTCTTTTATTCAGTCTTCATCTGTTTACTGTATTTTCTGTATGTATGTAATGCAATGGGGTCAATTCTGAATCAATTATTCATTGGCTACTACCTGCCTATTAAAGTACAGTTTCAGTCCCATCTGACAATGTGTTTTTTTTTTTAAATAGAAGATAGACAATTTATTTGCATCATTTACAGCACACAAATAACATTAGATATTGGTACATATTTTAAGAAATAAAACAAAACATATATAAAAAAAAAAAACTGATAATAGAATGGTAATTCCGCCTGCACTATTAGTGTACATTAGTGAGGCACCAGTGAGGGATGATAAGTGATGATGAAGCTGTCCATAGTGATGAATTCAACAATAAATCCATGGCAATGGTTTCTAAGGGAAACCACTTGGAGGTTGACCTGAAAGGATATATTGCTAGCAATGGAGTTGCTAATCCCTATTACTAAATATCCATTCTCCCTCCCCCCCCTGTGACAGTGTGTCATGACTACTAAGAACTGAATGCTACAATCCTACTATGTGTTTATAAGGATGAATGAATGTTTGTTACTCTTTCACACAAAACTACTGAATAAATTTGAATTAAATCTGATATACAGATATAAACATATTTTAACTTATAGAATATTGTATATAAAGATTTCTGGCAAAAGTTCTTAATGGGCTAAAACATTAATTTCACTCAACTATCAAATACATATTTTAAAGAATGACTATTCAAATTCATATCCATTATCTTACCCAACTGTGGACAGATTTTTTCCCTACTTCAATCTAGATAAAAACTCAAGTGTTATTAATTTCATAATGATCTTCTCTAGATTGATATCAGTTTTTTTTTATTTTATTCTTAATAAAATGTCAACATTTTAAATTTAGAAATATGTATTGCTATATATTACCTCATTTTAGTTAATAATCTAACATAATGATAAAAATAACAGTACAAGTAGATTGTAAATTAAAATTCTGAGACAGACATTTGCCAAGTAAGTTTCATTATAATTTAAATTGCTCAAAAGAGTCCTAACATACACTTAAATATTCGTTTTTAAAAGAATTTAAATAAAAATAAAATATAGAAAAACATGCAACAAAATAAAACAAATATATTTTTTTTAGTTGTTTTTTTTTTTTTTTAGTACGTTTGTTCCGTTTGGAACAGGCTAAGGTCGGAGACCATGCTGCCTAGTCTTCAAAAAGATAATTTGTCTGGAATATTTTTTAGTTGTATATATTATGATAAAAAAAGTTATAATTTTTTTATTTTTTTTTAGCACCCAAGAAAGTACAACAAACTACCTAGGTATTACGAATTGAAATCTCAGGTGACATCCAGTTTGACAAAATGTATATCTCTATCTTAAAATTATATTTGACCAGTCCTTTACAATAAGGAGTTTCTTATGACGGATCTCTATAGTTAACCAATGATAAATTAATGTACCTTGTATTTACAATTCTATGGGATGGGACCTACAATAGAGTGAATGAACGCACACTCATTGATTATAGCTCTATACTCAGGGACACTATGACCTAAGGGCGGCGGTCCTACGAATCTTTTATGTTTTCAATCTGACGATCCAGTCTACATATCCCTCGGATATCTATTGCTATGGCCGTATACATTATTAGAAGTCCCAATAAACACCATAAATCACATTACACATTCCGTGAGATATGAAAAATGGCCGGGGTAAGGCCCTACCTATCCCGAGAAGGGCGAAGCACGAATCACGAAAACTGAGATACTCGCAGATAACTTACTTTTCAGATGCCTCGGTCATGATTCGACACGTCGAATATCCTAATTTCTACTCGCCACTTCACAGATTTCACCATTTTTATGACATAAATACATCAGATTCACTTCCAAGTCGTTCTTATTTCGGCCCTTTGTTGGGCCTCAGTGCGCTTGCGTCAATAAAACAGCCCGGTTATTCAATGAACACACCGTGACTGCGCGACAGGTGGCGCATATGTCGCGCGCAATTGTATGAACTCGGCTTGCGATTGGTTAGTTCACACTAGTCTGCAGTTTCAACCAATAAGAGCTCGAGCAATTTTACACTGACCAATAAAATTATTTCACTGTAAAAATGAAACTTTTAGCGGGAATTTCAAAAAATATACTATGCCGGTATTTATTTCTTTGAACTTTAGTCACAATGCTCAAAATTTAAGATAATATCGAAATAAATATATAAACCAACAAAATTTCCCTTTAATACTTGCATAAAATATAATTGAGATCACAGAATTCGCGATATGCGGATTTCTTTATGCACAGAGCGGAAGTAGGTCACGACGACCTCGAGGTTCGACTGCTACTGAATGGAATAAGGTTTGCAATGGGCCCATCCCCGTTCATGCACAGAGTCGACTCATTGAAAAATAAATAGGTCAAATCATTGCAACGTGCCCTAGATGCAGGTAGTTGCACCATTCATAGGCTGCGCCTGCATACGGGCCCCCTGTTCTATAAATAGCTGCTCTATATTTGGGCAGGTCATTCGCAGCAAACGTAATGCAAGCCTCCAGAAACTAGGTTACCTGATTTTCTTTGTTAATAACCGGTACAGTGACGTAGTTCGCGATTGGCTATGACGTCAGACATTGCCTTATATTTTTTAATTTTATTTTTAATAGTTGAATTGAATTGGGACCCATTTCTTCATAGTTTAGTAAATATAATTAAATAATTTGTTTTAATTTAAATGCAATTAAGATTACTGACAATATTTTATTTAAAATTTATAAGAATATTGTATCAGATATATTTATTATATTACATATATTAAAAATAGGCAATTACCTATGTCATAGAAAACAGGTGCAAGTTTATTAGGGAAAGAAATAGCATTTAAGTACCCAGACCCCACAAGTTATGGTAACTATTTACCATCAGAGCAAGCTATATGAGTCATATACTTGTATGTCCATTTCTGTAATAGATTTTAATAATAACTTAATAAATGAAAACCTTGAAATGTAACTTATTTTTTCAAAAAAGCTTACGCGTAACTTCATTTTTAAGTTAACTTACGCGTAAGTTAATTATCAAGAAGAGCCATATGGAGGTCGTCCTGATAGGGTATATTGGGGGGGAGGGGGGGAAGGGATTGTTAGTAATAAGGTCTAATAGCCCCATTGCTAGCAATTCGAACTCATAGATCGTCCTCCACGCAGTTCTCCCTTGGAAACCATCATGGTTAATTCATGTCCAATTCATCATGGTGGGCCTACTGACCTGCATTCATTCTCACCTATCATCTTCCACTGGTGCCCCGTCGGTGTATACCGATAACGCGGGCGGAGTTACCATACCATTTTTAACTAACAAAAAAAAACGAGCATGCAGCTCACCTGATGGTAATTGACCTACCGCCGCCCATGATCACCCGCAGCACCAAAGGCATTGCAGGTGTTCTGCTAGCTTTTTAAAAAGGAATATGCTCTTTTCTTGAAGGTTACGTTGTCGTATCTGTTCGGAAATACTGCTTACTTGAATATCCTATATGAGCGAGACTTTGTACAAGATTCGTCTACTTGAGTAACTATATCATATATATTATATAACTAATATATATAGTAACTATATATATTAGTGTTTTTACCGTAAAACAGTGTTTTACTAATGGAATGGTAACCCTGCCTACGCCAACGGTATACGCTGACGAGGCGCCAGTGAGTGATGATAGGTGAGAATGAAAAGGCAGGACGGTTAGCCCATCGTGATGAATACACCTGGAATTCAGTACGATGGTTTCCGGGGGGCACCACGTGGAGGTCGACCTGACAAGGTGTACTGCTAACTATGGGACTAGTCGTCCGCATCGCTGACAATCTCTTCTCCTCTACCTTAAAGCAGTTGTGTTTGCATGGTTGTGTTTCAGTTTGAAAGATGGGATATAGCAATGAAATTACAGGATATTAGATTATTTAGTCCTCAGGAATGGAAACCCATAAAGGTTGTCATAGGCAACACAGTATACTCAGTTATGTCCATGGTACTAATCATGTTTATAGGCGACGGTTACCACTTTCCATCAGGTGGGCCGTCAGTTTTTCGTATATTGCTAGCAATAGGATACTCAGTCTCCATTACTAACAATCCCTTTCCCCCCTTGCCGTGTGCTCGTTTGCCTTTTGTGTTATAATAAAAAGTGGTAACCATCGCCTATAGACATAAACTATACCCACTATACACAGCCGTATTTAAAGGTCAGGTAGTCCGGGCCCACTTGAGTCGTCTGATGCCCATCTATGCACAAAAACACGCACGAAAAGACATATATACTTTTTTAAGACGTCAAGTACTACTACCTTTTTATGACACTGAGGTGACAAACAAGCATACGGCCTGCCTGATGGTAAGCCGTTACTGTGTATAAACGCATTACGCGTTTTCAAACCACTTTCCGCCTTTTTTGAACAATCTCGTACTGTAGTCTTTAGGAAAAACCTCGACGGGTTGGCAACTGCAGATAGGCTTTTAGAGATGGTTTAAGAGGGACGCTGCTGTCCATTCCTTGGTCACCTCTTACGACACCCACGGGATAGCAAGGGCTGGCCTATTCTATGTCGAACTAGACGGCGACTTAAATAAATAAAATAAATAAAATAAAAAAAAAAAATTAAAAATATTTATTTAGAGGCTTTTATTCTATAGGAATATGTCAGACCCATCATCGCCTTAACCGTTTGATTTCACATATTAAAATAGAATGAATCATTGATACAATTAAAGATTAAAATTTTCAATTAAATCTCTATAAGTTATATATTTTTTAATGAGATACAGTGTTTTTTTTTTGGTGGGTGAAAATGGTATGGTAACCCCGCCTGCGCTAACGGGATACGCTGGCGGAGCACCAGTGAAGGGTGATAGATAAGAATGAAAACAGGTCAGTTAGCCCATCATGATGAATTCATCAGGAATTAACCATGATAGTTTCCAGGGAGAACCGCGAGGAGGTCGACCTGGTTGGGTATATTGCTAGCAATAGGATTCTCAGTCTCCATTACTAACAATCCCTTTCCCCCTAAGATAAAGTGATTATCAGAGGGAGATTTTGTACAAGTCATTTGCTAGGACACCTGTACCATTCGTGTTTCTACCATGAAGCAGTTGTTTGCATGGCTGTGTTTCGGTTTGAAGGGTGGGATATGACAATGAATTTACTGGGTACAGAGGAATAACACCCGGGTCCTCAGGAATGGCAACGCATGGGGGGTATCATGGGCGAAACAGTATACTCTGTTATGTCCATGGTACAGCTCATGTCTATAGGCGACGGTTACCACTTTCCATCAGGTGGGCCGTCAGCTTGTTTGCCATTCTAAGTTGTATAAAAAAATTAAAGATTTTGTCGTAATAACGATGTGATAAATAATATATAGATATTAATTGCTAACAATTTATTACAAATTCAACATTTCAATAAAGTATTTAGTATAAAAATACATTTTAGTCTTATGGTAAATCACAAAAATATATAAATAATTATTACAGAGGTTATTGACTTTTTCCCTCTAAATGGGAGCTGGCGTGAAGAAAGTATGTACATTGTATCTGAAAATAAGTATGATCATACAAAAAAAAATGAAAAACATTAAATTAAATTGAATATTACAAGTTCTGAATAACAATAATAAATATATTTCACAATAAACAATTATTTATTTATTGAACTCTTTATTGCACCATAAATAACAATATACAATGACAAGTGAATAATTCAAGTGAAATATAGTAACATAAATACAGACTGAAATATATACATAAAGGGTACAAAAGGCGGTCTTATCGCTAGGGTGATCTCTTACAGACAACCTTTGGTTAAAGGAGAACAGATAGAAATGGGCTGGTGGCGCAAGAGTGAATTAATAATTTTTCGTGCATAAAATACAAAAACTATATATATATATATATATATATATATATATATATATATATATATATATAATCATTATCTTATCCTTAAGCCAAATCTTTTTGTAATATGGACAAAAAACATATTACGCCGACCCCAAATAATAATTGGGATAAGGATAAGATAATGATTATATATATATATATATATATATATATATATATATATATATATATACATATAATTTTAGATATATAATATCTATATAAAAAATATATAAATAATATCAACTACAAGTCGTCGAACTCTGGTTGGCCACTCTTGGTCGCTTGGGCGATAGCTGCCTTCGTTATGTCCTCACTCTGGTGGTTTATGGCGTTTATTAAACACTGAAACAAGGAAATTATTATTTCTAACTAGCTTTTTGCCCGTTGCTTCGTACGCGTGAATTCAGAAGTAGAAAAACAAATAAAACAGGCCCCTTCTAAAAACATAGACCGATTTTGGAGAAAGACCTTCAAGAATACAAGTGTGATGACCGCATCATCGTGATCATTCACCAGAGAGAGACATTGTACAAAAGTCGATTGCTTGGGTACCTCTGTTCCATTCGTGTTTCTACTGTAAAGCAGTTGTGTTTGCATGGCTGGGTTTCGGTTTGAAGGGTGGGATATGGCAGTGAATTTACATGGTATAGAGGAATAACACCTGAGCCCTCAGGAATGGCAACGCATGGGGGGTATCATGGGCGAAACAGTATACTCTGTTATGTCCATGGTACTGCTCATGTCTATAGGCGACGGTTACTACTTTCCATCAGGTAAACCGTCAGCTTGTTTGCCATTTCTAAGTTGTATAAAAAAAAAATCTAATTTCGTGGGCTAGTTTTTCTTGATACAGGAATTATTTTGGTTTCTTTTACCCTTATTAAGACTCCTCATATATTTTTTTCTTAAATATCTACTTCAATGTACATACATCGGTCGAATTTTTTTTATTCTATGAATGAATAGAGGTGTTAAGAGATACTATATGTACACTAAGATAGTTTATGATTACACTCGATTACTAAAACTTACAGTTTTTACACTTTATTGTACATAAAAATTACACTGTTATAATTTATTTCGAATAAAGATGTATATCAGGCGAGCTTAACTCTGTAAGAGTTCTCTTCTAGCAAACCCTGAGTGAACTTAATGATAGAATTATGAAGAAATGATCCTTTTTCGAATCCCATTGAGGTGAACACAAAAAAGCAATATTTATTTATTTGTTTTTTATAGCCCAATAAAATTTTGAACAAGCGGCGAGCTTAATGCCATATGGCATTCTCTACCAGCTAACCGTTAGGTGAAAACAGGAAGCGTGTGAAGGGCAGATGTGGTGAAAAATATGTGACATAATTATAGCAACATACTGAAATAATATATTTTTTGATAATCCCAGATGTCACGTTGTTTTGTGTAAATGAGGTCGCGGGTTCGATTCTCGGTCGGGTCAATTTGGGAAACGACATTTTCTGAATTGGCTCGAGTCTTGTTGTGCTTCTGATGTTTATTGACGTATACATGTACCCTTTTAATACACAGTATCCTAGCTTGAGTATCAGGCAATTGGTGTGATTGTGTGGTGCTTATTAAATAAAAAAAAAAATAGCTTACAATATGCTCCAGACCCTCGGCGACGGTCCTGTCCTGCGAGTAGACCAAGTTCTGCTTGGTCGCCTGGACAGCCACCGGGCTCATGCTCGCGATGGTCTCAGCTACATTCAACGCTTCGGTTATGGCGCTGAAATTAAACATATATTTATTAACTCTTTATTGCACCATAAACAAAAATATATCAGATGGAGGGAAATTTATAACGAGATAATGTACGGTATATAATATATTTAGAAGCTCCAATATTAAAGCTGTAATAACGTTGTACTATCATATTAAATATATGAATAAAACAGCCAAGGCGATTGTTTAAAACATGATTTCATAATAATCTTAAGTAACACAATTATTTATTTATTTATTTAAACACTTTATTGCACCATAAACAAAAATATACAATGACAATTGAACAATTCAAGTGAAATACAGTAATATAAATACAGATTGAAATATACACATAAAGGGTACAAAAGGCGGTCTTATCGCTAGGGCGATCTCTTACAGACAACCTTTGGTTAAAGGAGAACATATAGAAGTATATATGTATAATATAGGCTGGGATTGCATTAGCGGCCACGTATATATCTATACTAATTATTATTATTATTAATATCCACTGCTAAACCTTCCCCATAAGTGGAGTTTTGCTAGTAGGCAGACAGGAGGTTGGCTACCGTGGTTAGGCTTTTACAGACGTTTTAAGAGAGACGCTGCTGCCCGTCCCACGCCTTACAGTAATTAGGGGAATCCCCCTGGAAACCATCGGGATTAATATTTGTTGCATTCGCCACGACGGGCTAACTGACCTGCTTTCATACTCATTATTAATGATTATTTATTAAGATCTTTCAAAATAATATTGTAGAATGCAATAAATAAATTGAATTTAATTTAATTACCCGCCCCTTATTAGTATAATGGATGATAATGGTATGGTAACCCCGCCTGCGCTATCGGTATACACTGGCGGGGCACCGGTGAGGGTGAAAAAACACGATGATTTCCAGGGGGGACCTCGTGGAGGTCGACCCGATATATTGATAGCAATAGGGACTAACCTCCCCATTACTAACAATCCCTTCCCCACCTATTTGAAAGTAGTAGGTACAAATTAATATTAGTGGGAGCATCTCACGCGTCCTTGTCGGGGAAGACCCTGCTGACCAGCCCTATGCTCAGCGCCTCCTGCGCCGTCACCTTCCGCGCCGTGTAGCACAGCTCGCGGGCAACCGACGCGCTGCCGATCACCTGAACACAACGGCAATATTATCATCTTACTAAGATAATAACACTAGCTATATCCTGCGGCTTTGCCCACGTGAAACACATACATGAAGTATCGTATGCGCTATGTAAGTTAGGATATAATCTATCCGTGTATCAAATTTCAAACATCCATCTATTCATTATTATTATACCAGCCGGTTACTGTTTACTGCTGAACATGCGTCTCCCCGATAAGGGAAGTTTATTTTTTTCCATACATACATACATATCTGTCACGCCTGTCTCCCATTAGGGTAGGCAGAAACAATGGACAACAATTTTTCCATTTAATTGGGAAAACTAACAGTGGCAAAATAAAGATATAAAACATAATATTAATCAAAGAAAACATTGAGTAAATTTGCCACCAACACTGTTCACCACAGCTTGTGACAATGTTTTTATTTTTGTTACCAAAAATATTTTTTCAGAAGTGCCCGGAAGAAAAAACCATCTTTCGTCCAAATGTTCAGGATTTTGGACGTGTTTATCCGGTGTCGGCAATTTAGGTGATGGCAGCCCTACTCTCGAATATGAATTTACACAAAAACTAGTTTCACAGTAAACTACTTTATTAGTATATTAAGATACTCACTTTGGGCAACCTCTGTAGCACACCAACATCGCCGGCCAGGCCGATCTGTACCTCTTTCACTTGAAACCAGGCGTCCTCCGTGCAGTATCTAGAATACAGTCGATTCATTTGTTTTTATTTATTTATTTTATAACAACTGCTTCACGGTAGAAACAAAAATACTCTTGCATTTTAATATATTGCAGTATATGTGCAATAAAGATTATGCTATGATATCAAATAGAAATTTTAATTTTAGAGATAGATTCAGAGGAATGGCGCCTCAAGTTGTACAAAAAAAAAAGAGACGACCTCATTTACTGGGCTTAGGTCCTATATATTTTTGAAGCATTTTCATACAATATCAAACCCTTTAATCCTAGGAATAATTTTGCCTGACTTTGCGTGTTCTACCACTTGTATAAAGGAATGTGCTCAGAGGAATTGTTCAATACTCGTATGATGCCCACGGCCATCTTCTACCATCGTACAGTTCGCCATTGACAGGGAGTTCACCCCCATACCTTAGAGCCTGGATGGTCGGTTTCAGAGATGATTCCTCTCTCTCTCAGATTATAGACTGAACTCCCTATCTAGAGGTTTCCGAGAAACTACAGCATGGGGATATTAAAAAAAAAGTGGTAAAAAAGTTTCTTCAGGGTCGGCAACGCGCGCGTAATAATCCTAGTATTGCAGGCGTTCATAGGCTATGGTAACCACTTTTTTTTTTATGTGTGAAAATGGTATGGTAACCCCGCCTGCGCTAACGGGATACGCTGGCGGAGCACCAGTGAAGGGTGATAGGTGAGAATGAAAACAGCCTAATTAGCCCATCATGATGATGAGTAATTAACCATGATAGTTTCCAGGGGGAACCGCGAGGAGGTCGACGTGGTTGGGTATATTGCTAGCAATGGGATTCTCAGTCTCCATTAGTAACAATCCCTTTCCCCCCACGGTAACCACTTACCATCTACGGCTGCATGCTTATTTGCCACCTCTGTAGTATAAAAAAATACACAAATATTTAATAAATATATGACAAACAAGGTATATGTACCTGATGTCAGCGGCGGTGGTCAAGTTCACGCCAGCACCGATGCACGCTTGGTGTACCACATTTAACACCGGTTTCGTGCAGTCCTCCACAGCAGTTATGTAAGTCTGAATTGAATGATTAAATTTATATGTATCTATTTTTTATTGCATAATAAAATTTGTATAAATGGCGAGCTTAATGCTGTATGGTATTCTCTACCTACTAACCATTTTGTAGTTTAGTTAGGCTTATGTAATAAAAATTAGAAAGAACCACTCCAGTTTTTTTATTGTTTTATTTTGCAACCGGGAAAAACCGGTTACATAGACTAATTCATGTGAATATTACATTCTTTACGGCTCCGGAACGTACTTCCTGATACCATTAAGAAAATACGACTAAACCGTCTTTAAAAAAAAAAAGTTCATGCTCACTTTTTTACATTATCCGAGCTGTAAGTACTTTCTATTATTCTCATTTTCGTGTATAATATAGTATATGTTATATATGTGTAAGTATATATGTCATTCATATATATTTATTCGTTTATATATGTAATTTTAGTATGTATGTATAATTAGTAGTACCGCATTCGAGTATTCTGACACTTCCCTATGGTTGACTGGGAGAGAATGCTTTTAGCATTAAGTCCGCCATATACACATATATGTACTTATGAATAAATAAATAATAAAAAATATTTTAAATTAAAATAATATTACCTGGAATCTTTTGACCAACTCGTAAAATAATCTGGCTTTACGCGCTGCATCCTCCACCTCGTTGATTTTGGTAAAACCAGATAGAAGGCTCTTGAGATCAATACCTGTAATTCAGAAAAGAAAAAAAATTGTGAGGAAAAAGGAAAAATGTTTTCACTGTGATCATTTGTTGTAATTGTTTATATTTATAATAAGTTTGCTATTGTAATCTTTTGGAGGAAACAATAAAGAGTATCTGTCTGCAATTGTTTTTTTTTTTTTTTATTAAAGGAATGGTAACTCCGCGGTATAACAAACAGTAAAAAAAACAACTAAATTGCGAGCCTCCTTTTGTATGTAAACATACAGTCACATTACTCACACAAATGTAGAATTTGTTATAGTAGATACCTATCAAGTATTACGACGCACCCTCAACGGCGATTGGATCGGACCACCTAGCATAACGCAAGAAGGTGGACTACCGAAAAAGACACCAAAGTCAGCATTTCAATTCCCGCAGCAAAAATACCCATTTCCTTTATGTTTGATTCGATATGACTTCACTTACGGATCACACATCGATCTGAAGACACTTATTATTGTAATAATTAATTTTAGAATTAAATTTAGTTAATTTATAAAATTGTTTTTTTTTTTGGGTTTTCCGCCAGCGACTTCAATAACTAATTATAGACACAGTATCCATACAAATGTAACATTTATACTCAAGAAACATTACATTAATGTGTTACAGTAATACTCAAAAAACTGAATTTAAATTGAAAAGTTATTTTTTCAATTTAAATTCCGTTTCTTAAGGATTCTTTCTAAGCAGGTATATATAACATATATAATATTATTCCAGGTAGGTATATATAACAATTTTCCAAACGCTGCAGTAGAATCATAAAAAAATGGCGATTCAAAATAGCTTGTAAACAAGTCTATATGAATATGTATATTTATTCTATGTAATTTTTTTTATACCATAAAGGTGGCAAACAAGCATACAGCCCGTCTGATGGTACACGGTCACTGTGGACGCCTGCAACACTAGGGGTGTCACATGCACGTCGCCGACCCTGAAGAAACCTTAATATACCATTTTTGATGGTTATATATCCATACCCTCTAGTTTAGTTATTTGAACAACAAAGAATTAATTGTTAACTGAATTAGACTTGGTTCTTTGTCGACCCCATAAAAGGATATAAGGATAGAACATACATACCGGCTGTAAAATGCTTCCCCCTGCCCGATAAGACGACCACTCTGCATTCAGGATTCTCATGCAGTGCCTTAAAACATGCACCCAGATCTCTGAAATTGCAGAAATATATATCCTTTTTAAACTTCACACTGTATCTTATATATATATATATATATATAACATATATATATATGTTATATACTGTTTTTATCATTTTAATCATATGATACTTATTTGTATCTCTCAATACAAATAAGGATGCTTGCTTTATTTATGACTATTATAAAACATACTATATTATCTGATTAAAATAGGTCAGCTTATGCCAATATCACAAATAAGTTTACTGCCCATCTAGTTATAAATAGTTTATGATACAGGAATTAACAATATCAATTAGAACAACTATAAAAACTTACCAGGGCTTCTTTAATGGGTGAAAATGGAATGGTGACCCCATCTGCGCTATCAGTATATGCTGGCAGGGCACCAGTGATTGATGATAGATGAGGATGAAGACAGGTCAGTCAGCCCATCATGAAGAATTCGATAATAATTGACCATGATGGTTTCCAGGGGAAACAGTGTGGAAGTCAACCTGATAGGGTGTATTGCTGGCAATTGGTCAGTTAGACCCCATTACTAACAATCCCTTTCCCCCCAACTTACCTGGGTTATCTCTAATAATTTTAATTAATTTAATTTTCATTCCTTATATACCATAAACTGAAACTATAGTAGGGATTCTGCTTTCGAGGGAAAGATAAATTGAGTAGAGCAATAATGATTTGGTAGCTGAAAGAAAAGGAAAAAAGAAGGCATATAGAAAATAGGGGACATTACTTCATATATCACAACAATGAAGAGCTTCAGTCTGTACTATTATATAATTAGTCATGACTTTATTATTATTTCAGCCATTAACTGTTCACTGCTGGGGGGAAAGGGATTGTTAGTAACGGAGACTGAGAATCCCATTGCAAGCAATATACCCAACCAGGTCGACCTCCTCGCGGTTCTCGGTATATATATATATCTCAAAATATTTATTTAATTTACAAATTGCTTTAGTTAAATCAATAAATTACGGCCAAAATAGGGGGAATTTGAACAAGAATATCTCACAATAAAGACCACTGGAAGCAGTAGGAGGCCTTTGCTAATAAGTAAAAAGGCCATGGTATGAAATTAGTATAATAAATTAATGCTAATATAATATCTTATTACTGTACTCACTGCCAGAGAGCTTCATTGAATGTGTTCAATTTGTCTGGACGGTTTAATTCTACATGAAACACATTCTTTTTTGGTACAGACACGGCCAGTGTTTCATATTGAGTGACATCAGCTTTGGCTGAGTATGTTCTTAACAATGTGCCTGAAAAAAAAAACATATGCATTCAATATTAACACAGTAAACACTGATGACATGGGTATATAGTATTAATATTATAAAAAATGCGAAAGTTTGTAATGATGGATGGATGTTTATTTGTTTGTTTTAAGGAAATACTATTAAACAGAATAAAATGAAATTTGTATAAATTATATCTTAAGGTAGGTCATAGGATACTTTATGTACTGATTCACGCGGGTGAAACCGTGGGATATGGCTAGTTTTTTTATTAAAGTTACTAATAACCATTTAAAATAAGTAATTCTATTTATATATAAACAAAATAATATCTTTTTTAAGTCGATTCAAAATTATTGGATTTATACATTGCGAAACTGATATATTTCACGAATATTATTTACCGATTTACACATTTAATTAAAAATATATAAAATATAAGATAAAACAAGTTATTTATCTAAATTTTTGAAGGTATAAAATATTATAATGTATTTAATAAAAAATATATATATCCTTAAATACACAATAAAATAATTAAATATACGAGTTTAAATTTATATAACTTTAAATTAAAGAATTAAAACTTACTAGCAACTTTTTTCGGTTGATTAAAAATGATGGATTTAATAAACGACGCCATACTAAAAAATGTAACTTATTTGGAAAAAAATAAAGAAATAATAGCTCTACAAGTTTCTCACGTAAATAAACAGTAAGTGAAAATAAAAATATAAAAACCACTACAAGAAATTCAGAACGACGAACAAAGTCCAATTTGATTTGACTACATAACAATGTTACCACTTGAGCAACGGATTTTGTAACTAATCAAAACAAAAAAGTGGCTACATTTAAAAATTTATTTTAAGACATACAAAAGTTAGTAAATATTAGTTTATAAATTTGGATTAAAAACCACAGACTAATAAGATTTACGTTCTAAAGAGTAATTAAGCAGATGAATTATAAAAAATGGCTAAAAAGGCCATACAATATTTTATATGGCGATATTTCTAGTTCAACATTTGACTTTAAATGCTATGTAAACATAGATAACTAATAAACGTAGGTCATATATTAAGGATAATACTTGCAATTCTCATAGATATGCGATGACATTAATAGTAACAACAAGATACCATTATAGACAAAACACAGAAAAGTGAGCAAGATCAATAATTAATTTTTGCTTTGCGTAAGAATTTCGCCTGTAATTAGAATAGACGACAACTATTTTGATACTTGATAAAAATGGAGTTGTAAAAAATTTTACTTAGCATTAACTTTAGATTATCCGTTCAAAACTATTTAATAGCTATGTCACTATTATTCGTTGCAAATTAGGTAAAAGTATTTAGTTTTCTTTTTGTTCATTTGCTCAAGATATAATTTATTGCAGTTATAATTTGCATTTCAGTATTATTTACTATTATGCAGTAACATTGATGAAAGCCAAATAATATTTAGCTTTCATTAAAAAAATAACAATTATATAATTTATATTACATTATAAAGCTAATAGGTTTAATATTAGGAGGGGAAGAGATTGTTAGTAATGCAGGCTATCAGTCCCCTTGCAGTATACCCTATCAATTCGACCTCCACGTGGTTCACCCTAGAAACTATCGTGCTGAATTCCAAGTGTATGCATTACGATGGGCTAATTGACCTACCCTTTCATCTTTACTTATCACATCTCACTGGTGCCTCGCCAGCGTATACCATTAGCGCAGGCGGGGTTGCCATTCCAATTATTGGAAAAAAAAAAATAGGTCTAATATCTTATTAGGAAAGGTCTAAGATTTTCCATTCTCAAGACTAGTCTTTCTCTTTTTTTATACTACTGAAGTGGAAAGAAACAGGAAACTTCTCTTTTTCTTTCCTCAGGTACTAGATTGTTATGATTTTACTCCATTTTTCTTTTTTGCACTTTTTAGCCTATTTAGCTTGATTAGCGATTGTAAATGAATGTGCTGTTTTGCTAGATTTTGTTTCATAAATAAAAATCAAATTGTGAGTCAGTTGAGTGTTTATTTTAACAATTTACAAAAATAGTTTACTTAAATATAAATATACTTATAGCAAATTTAAAAAATCTACAAAAATATTGTACAGGCCTTTGGCTTTAAATATAACCAACAATAAAAATGCGTTATACGCTTTGTCACATATATATTTAGTTAAAAAAAATGGACACTGCGACAGCACACAGGTATTTCACTATATTGTCCAGCATTTGGATAGCAATTAAGTAATTAAAAACATTTAAAATAAATAACATGATTACTATTTGTCATTTACTGTAGAAGTTACTAGTTTTTATTTACTAGAGAGAGACTGTACAAAGTCGTCTGCTTGGGTAACTTTATCCAATTCAGCTGTGTTTGTATGGCTGTTCCGATCTGAAGGGTGGGATATGGCAATCAAATTACAGGGTACAGGTTACACAACACCTTAGTCCTCAGGAATGACAACGCATATCATGGGCGAAACAGTCTATCTATCTCTGTTATGTCCATAGTCAGCGGCGGCCTTAGCCATTGAGAGGCTCCAGGCGGTAGGTCTTTGCAAGGCCCTTTGTCCTTCGTGAAAAGTATGTGATGCGAAACTAGGTCTGGTTGTTGGATGTAGGCAGCAGTTGTTACGCTAGGCCCCCACAAGAGCGAGGACCCGGTCAATTGCCCTGTTCGCCACCCCGTAAGGCCGCAGCTGTCCATAGTACTGCTCATGTCTATAGGTGACGGTTATCACTTTCCATCACGTGGACCGTCACATCCTTCATTACAGTTTTTCTTCATCATTGACTATAATTATGAGATTAGGCCATCTCTTCCTATCCTTCTGTGGATGTCGTAAGAGGCGACTAAGGGAGTGCGAGGAATGGGCAGCAGCGTCCCTTTTAAAACATCTCTAAAGCCGGACTACAGTTGCCCGCAAGCTGTACATAAGCCCCCAAGGTGGAGGTTATGTACAGCTTATTGATAATGATGATGCAATGTATATATCATTGTTTGTATCTATAATAAGTTTACTATTGTAATCCTTTGGAGGAAACAATAGAGTATTTATCTATATATCTATAAAGTAACAAATGGCTTTTGGCCTTCGTCTGCCGTAATTAAAACTACAAGTTTTCGAAGTCAGGTTGACCGGTCTTAGTGGCCTGTGCGATGGCAGCCTTAGTTATATCTTCACTTTGATGGTTGATGGCGTTCAATAAACACTGAAACAATAGAAATACAATTTAAAAAAAAAATTGGTCTAGTTCACTGTAAGTTTGTTTTGATACAGGCACATTTGGTGTAATATATAGCAATAACTATATATTTTAGTTACAATATCTATATACTGGTTCAATAATGTATATGTTAAAGTCTCTTATCCAAAAAATAATATTGGCTTTTAACATATTTATAACATATTGAAATGGGCGATGACCTTTATTCACCATCAAGTGTCCGGAGGAACCCAATATATAGATATCAAATCGATATCCGTATTACCATGCCTACCGTTTGGTAAAAGAATCTCTTTTATTTATTGTTGTTAAATTATATATCATGTATTCAAAGGGAGACTTCTTACAAAAGTCAAACTCTGTGGTGCAATTTTTTTTTAGTGGAATGGTAAATTCGCCTACGCTATCAGTATACGTTGACGGGGCATCAGTAAAGGATGATCGGGGAGGACGTAAACATATATATGAAATAACCACAATGGTTTCTAGGAGGAACTGCGTGGTCGACGTGATAAGCTATACTGCTAGCAATGAGCCTTTATAGTCCATTACTAACAAACCCTTTTTCCTTGTGGCGCAGTTGATTTGCATAAATAAAGCCCCAGCTTCGATTCTCTGTTTGGCTTGAGTCTGTGTGTGCCTCCAAGTGTCCATTGGATGGTACACAGTATCTTAGTTTGAGTACCAGGCAATCGCTGTAATTGTGTGGTACGTATTAAAAAACTTACAATATGCTCCAGACCCTCGGCGATGGTCCTGTCCTGTGAATAGACCAGGTTCTGCTTAATAGCTTGAACAGCCACTGGGCTCATGCTCGCGATGGTTTCAGCTATATTTAACACCTCAGTTAGAGCTCTGAAATTATAAAAATAAAAATGTACAGATGTGTTCACGTCTTCAGACCCTGAGGAGGTAGTCAGGGGCGGAAGAGGGAATTGATAGTAAACCATTCCCCTCTTTCATACAGCAACCCCATTGCTAGCAATATATCCTATCAGCTTGATCTCCATGCAAGCCCCTCTAGAAACTATCCTGGTTAATTCCCTGTGAATGGGGCCCCGCCAGTGTATATCGATAGCGCAGGTCATACGTACTATACCATACACCATGTCATAATCATTTATTAAAAAAAATTTTTTTTCAATACAACTTAGAATTGTAAACAAGCTGACGGCCCACTTGATGGAAAGTGGTAACCGTCGCCTATAGACATGAGCAGTACCATGGACATAACAGAGTATACTGTTTCGCCCATGATACCCCCCATGCGTTGGCATTCCTGAAGACTCAGATGTTATTCCTCTGTACCCTATAAATTCACGCCATATACCACCCTTCAAACCGAAACACAGCCATACAAACACAACTGCTTCACGGTAGAAACACGAATGGGACAGAGGTACCCAAGCAATCGACTTTTGTAAGTAAATTTGTCATGGTGGGCTAAATGATCTAAAATCACCACTTCATCATCCACTATCATCACTTAACACCATTCTCGTTTACACTGATAGTAAAAAAAAAATGGAAGCGGGTTATTCCATTTTCGTTTATTAAAAAAAAATACTGACTTCTACAAAAACATGCCAGAGTCCAAAGTGCCATATGACAGTGTATATTTTTTATCTTCTTTTTTAATTTTATCTTGTAGGTATGTTACATCACTTTAGTTTAATTATATTAAAAATAAAAATTCAATAATGGCCAGTCATTGAAAAGTTGTAAGAGCGTTATAACAAAAAAGATAAACGATTAGGGATAACATCACGCTACTGTTTTTTTAAGGCTGGAAAATCGAATGGGAACCTTATCTATGCTGTTGGTGTACCAGTGAAGGATGATAGGTGAGGATTGAAAACAGGTAGGCCCATCGTGGCACAATTAACAACAAATTAACCAGGGGGAATCCCATAGATGTCGACCTGACAGAGTATATTATTAGCAATGGGGATTAATCTTGTTTTGAACACAATGGGGTTGCTAGTCCTTAGTAATAATCTATTCCCTCCACATAAGTGCCTTGTAACATACATATATTCCTTATATTATTGATTTAAAAACTGAACGATTTTAATAAAATTAAAATCTTTGCAGGTAAAAAAAGATTTTTTCAAATCGGTTTACAACTGATAGAGTTGTGAAGTACCAAACATAATCTATACTTATAATAAATCTGTAGAGAGGTCAATTCTGTACATGAAATATATTTCCAAAATAACTATCAGCGGGTGATCAGTGATCGATACTGATGCCAAAAATGCAATCAGTAAAATTTTTGTGTCTGTCTGTATGTTCGTTATATTTATTTATTTATTTATTTATTTTGTGATACATAGGTAACAATGGATGGTAAAACAATATAAGTCCTCTATAATCAACCCCATCTATCGAGGTATACAAATTTACAATTACATAAGAAAACATTTATATTATATAAAAAGAAAAATCAGCAATGTCACATTTATATAAAAAGAAAAATCAGCAATGTTACATTTATAGTAAAAAAATATAATTATGGAACTTTATTTTTTTTTTAAGTTAATAACTATAAATAAATATTCGTTTTGTCAGATTTTATCATTAAAGAATTCACATACATTGTAATAACATTTATCAATTAAGAATTTTTTTAATTTATACTTAAATACATTAGTTGGTGCATCCTTTATAGATTTTGGTATTTTATTATAGATTTTTGGTGCCATACATAATATACTATCGTGCATAAGTTTTGTACTAGATTTTTTTAGATATAACTTATCATTATCACGTCGATTGCGTTTAACAATTTCTGAAAGTCGTGGAAATAAATTCTTATTAGTTTTAACAAATACACACACTTCAAATATGTACAATGAAGGTACTGTCAATATATTATATTGTTTGAAATACGGCATACAACTATCAGTATTTTTAAGATTAAACATGGCTCTTATGCACCTTTTTTGAGCTTTAAATACAAATTCTTTCTTCGTTGAATTTCCCCAAAATATTATGCCATACCGTAAATTTGAAGCAGTAATACCATGATACGCTGTAATGAGCGCTGATTCATTTACTGTAGGAGACAATTTATTTAAAGCATAAGCCGAAGAACTCAATTTCTTGGATAATTCATCTATATGATCTTTCCAGTTTAATTTATTGTCTATTATAATACCTAGGAATTTTGTATTCTCTACAATTTTAATATCACTATTAAGGTAACAAGCACCAATAGTATTTAAAGAAGTCCTTTGACTGAAATGCATTATATGTGTTTTATTAATATTTATTTTTAGATTATTATTATTCAACCATTTAACTATATTCTTCAAAGCTTGGTTTACATCATTTTCATACTCATCAATACTTTGGCATTCTATTGTTACTGTACTGTCATCAGCAAAAAGTGACATAGGTTGCTTTGTTATTTTGGGTAGATCATTTATATATATAATAAACAACAATGGACCCATAACACTACCCTGGGGAACACCATACAAGACAGTTCTCTGGTCAGAAATATAATTTTCTTCAAGTTTGGTTCTATTATTTATTTTATTTATTTGAGTACATTGTTTCCTGTCAGTAAGGTAAGACTTTAGTAAATTTAAAACATTACCCCTGATTCCATATACATATAATTTTTGAAGTAAAATATTATGGTCTACGTAATCAAAAGCTTGAGTCATATCACAGTAAATGGAGCAAACCAGTGTACTTTTATCCATATTTGTCAAAACAGTGTACAAGAAATCATAAATTGCTAAGTTAATGTCTTTGTTGCGTCTAAATCCTTTCTGATCTGATGTGAATAGATTTTGTTTTTCAAAGTACTCGTATATTTGTAAATATATGTATTTTTCAAAAATTTTTGAAAATGTTGTAGGCAATGCAATTGGTCTATAACATTCCATTGAATATTTATCCCCTTTTTTAAATATTGGTCTTACAATTGTAGTTTTTAAAATTTTAGGAAAAGTACCTGAACTTATACTGAGATTGATAATATAGCTAAGATGTGAGGCTATGTATGTTGAAGCAGCTTTTACAACTTTTGTAGATATTTCGTCAATGCCAACACTGCTAGTGTTTTTTAAGTGTGTTATAATTTTTAATATATCATGGGGTAAACTAGGCGCCATAAATATTGAATTTTTACTTGTTTTTATAGTACTCGTAACCTTATTTCCTGAGTTCAGTATAGGTGTAACTTTGTCGATAATAAAGTTATTAAAAGCATTACATATGGCCTGTGGGTCACAGATAATTTTGCCTTCTTTTTTTACTAAATGCATGGAACTCCTAGCTATACTTTGTTTGTTTTTATTTATTATTTGCCAAGTCGCTTTAGTTTTATTCGATGACATATTTATCTTATGACTATTTTGTGAACGTTGAGTTAGGTTAATAATTTTTTTAAGTTTTCTAGAATATTTTTGTAAGGCGTCTTTGCTTGTATCGTTTGGATTAAATCTATAATCCCATAGAAGTTTCCTTTTCTTTCTACAGCAAGCTTTAATTCCACGCGATATCCACTTTGGCTTTTTAAACGGTTTCTTAGTAATAAGTTTATTTGGAAAGCATAAGTCATAAAAAAGTTTAAAATGGTCAAAAAAAATATTAAAGGCTTCATTTGCGTCATTAGTATCATAAATGTCAGAAAAATTGTAGGATTTTAAGCAATCTATAAATTTTGTCATGTTATCCTTGCTAAAGTCACGTCGAAACAAAAACTATAGAAACAAAAACTACTAGACGGATTTTAACGAAACTTGGTACAAATATTCTTCATACTTCTGGGCAAGTTATAGTATAGTTTTCATCACGCTACAATCAATAGGAGCAGAGCAGTGAAGGGAAATGTTGGGAAAACGGGAGAAGTTACTCTATTTTTAAGCTTCCGTCGCGTGAGCAGCCTTAATGACCACTTTTTAAAATGTAAAAATGTGCGTGCGATGTCGGGACGGACTGCTAGTAAAAAATAAAATTGAATTGAGAACATTTTCCTTTTTGAAGTCGATTGAAAATATCATCATACGGGGAATGACCTATGCCCTGTAGTGGGATATTGTGGGTCGTTAAGACGTTAGTGGAAGCATCTCACGTGTCCTTGTCGGGGAAGACCCTGCTGACCAGCCCTATGCTCAGCGCCTCCTGCGCCGTCACCTTCCGCGCCGTGTAGCACAGCTCGCGGGCAACCGACGCGCTGCCGATCACCTGAACACATTTTTACATAATTTTAATTTAGAATGTTCATTGTTAGTAATACGGAGTACCAGTCCCAATGCTGGGAATATAACCTGTTAAATCGACCTCCACGTGCTCTCTCCTGGAAACCAACATGCTAATTTCCAGATATATTCATCACGACGGACCAACAGACCTGGCTTTTCATTCTCACCTGTCATTTCTCACTGGTGCCCCGCCAGTGTATACCGTTAGCGCGGGCAGGGTCGCCATTCCATTCTCATCCATTAAAAAAAAATGTGCCCTGTGTTAGTGATAGGGACAAGGGTCCCCATCATAATAAAAGAATTTGAATACTCACTTTAGGCAACCTCTGCAATACACCAGTGTCTCCGGCCACGCCGATCAGCACCTCTTTCACTTGGAACCAAGCATCTTCGGTGCAGTATCTGGAAGGCAGTCACAGTAGCTGTTACCAGAAGAAGAGATTGTTAGTAATGATTCAAATAGCCCCAGCAATATACCCTATCACGTCGACCTCCACGCAGTTCCCCCTGGAAACCATCGTGGTTAATTCTTGTGAATTGTGTCATGATGAGTTAATTGACCTGCTTTCATCGTCACCTATCATCTCTCACTGGTGTCTCGTCAGCATATACCGATAGCGCAGACGGGGATACCATTCCATTTTAATCCATAAAAAAAAAAATCGTAGGTAAAAGCTAGTAAAATATACATACAAAAGAAGCATGTCTATCAGCTTTAGTACAAATTCTGTTTACTTTGAACGTAGATGGCGCTGTGCTATTTGTCAAGTGAGTAATATTTATTATTATTAATAAAGGTTATATATATATACGTTCCCTTTGGAGGGGAGTTTTCAGTAGTTGCCACTCTTGGCAGGTGGGTTGGCAACCGCAGTCTTTGGTGATAATTTAAGCGGAACCCTTTTGCCCATCCCTCGAGTATTAAATTCCTTTAGTCGCCTCTTACAAAACCCATAGGGAAGGAAGGGGTGGCTCATTCATTAAACCCCATTTAAGGGGGAGGCCTATGTTCAGCAGGGAACAGTTAAAGGTGATAAGGTGATGATATATACCTGACATCAGCTGCGGTGATCACATTCACACCAGCACCAATACAACCTTCGTGTATGAGATTCAATACTGGTTTCGCGCAGACCTCCAGTGATGATATGCTTTCCTGGTACAATCAATTTGTATTTATTATTTTACCAGATGGAGACTTTGTACAAAAGTCGTTTGCTTGGGTACTTCTGTCCCATTCGTGTCTCTACCGTGAAGCAATTGTGTGCATGGCTGTGTTTCGGTTTGAAGTGTGGGATATGGCAGTGAACTTACAGGGTACAGAGGAATAACACCTGAGTCCTCAGGAATGGCAACGCATGGGGGGTATCATGAGCGAAACAATATACTCTGTTATGTCCGTGGTACTGCTCATGTCTATAGGCCCTTAGCTTGTCTGCCACTTTAAATTGCAAAAAAAAAAAAAATTCCGCCACGGGAAATCTTTAATTTTCCGTGATTAAAAGTATCTAAAATGATGAAAGGGGACAGAAAAAAGAAAAATGGGTATAAAAAAATAAATAAAAGGGATGTATAAAAAAAAGAAAAAGGTTGAAAGGGGAAAGATACCACCATGCAAAATTTCATTCTAAAATCCAACAGTTTCGGAGATTAGCCCGTACAAACAGATTGAGAAACAAAAAAAATTTTTATAAAATTTGAATGTGTTCCATTTCACTGCTAACATCCCCCTGACTCGGTTTTTCGCGTTTTTTTTTCTATGTACAGACATTCGACCTCAAAAGTTATAGGTATAGATATAGATATATTTGACCGAGTCCAAAGTGTAAATTTTTATCTTATCATGCTTGTTTACATCTTACTAATATAATAAAAATATGACTAGACGATGTCTGTACATGGATTATATAAAAAAAGCGGTCAAGTGCGAGTCCGACTCGCGAAACGAGGGTTCCGTACAAAAACATCAAGGTTTAATTTTTTTTTGTGAGATAACTACAAATTTATGGTTTTCGAATTGTTTCCTTTACTTGTGCTACATGACATTGCTTCTGAACAAATTTCATGGTTTTAGGACAACGGGAAGTACCCTATAGGTTTTGATTCCCTTTGCGAATGTCAAAATATGCGATATAAATAGAACATAAACGGCCGTATCTTTTGATTGCGTCGATTTAGAAGCTTGATTTTTTCACTGCTTCAAGAGATTGCAGACCTGAGTATATGATATTAATTTCAACTTGATACTTCCACGCGTTCTTAAGAAAACAATTCTCGACAGACTGACAGAGGGACAACGAAGTGACCCGGGGGGAAATAATTGTTAGTAATGGATTCTAACTGACCCATTACCAGCAATACACCCTATCAGGTCGTCCTCCACGCGGTTTCCCCTGGAAACCATTGTGGTTAATTCCAGCAGAATTCGTCACGATGGGCTAACTGACCTGCTTTCATCATCGCCTATCATCCCTCACTGGTGCTCCGCTAGCGTATACCGATAGCGCGGGCGGGGTTACCATTCCATTACCACCAATTAAAAAAAAAAACGAAGTGACCCTATAAGGGTCCCGTTTTTTCTTTTATAAGTACGGAACCCTAAAAATGATATGAGGTGTCCTAGTAAGAGTAATAGAAGCGAAAAGTATGCTTTATTGTACACAAATATAACGATAAGAGCAATTAAATAGACTGTTTATAACTCCTCTCCATCCAAAGGTTGCCTGGAAGAGATCGCTTTTAGCGATAAAGTCGCCCATTGTTTTCTCATTGTGATTATTTCTTGTAATTGTTTATATTTATAATAAGGTTACTATTGTAATCTTTTGGAGGAAACAATAAAGAGTATCTATCTATCTAACACTGCTGGGAGTCTAGTGTTAACCGTTGAGCACCGAGCACCACTGTCCCATTCGTGTTTCTACCATGAAGCAGTTGTGTTTGCATGGCTGTATTTCAGTTTGAAGGGTGGGATATGGCAGTGAATTTACAGGGTACAGAGGGATAACACCCGAGTCCTCAGAAATGGCAACACATGGGGGGTATCATGGGCGAAACAGTATACTCTATATCCATGGTACTGCCCATGTCTATAGACGACAGTTACCACTTTCCATCAGGTGGGCCGTCAGCTTGTTTGTCATTCTAAGTTGCATAAAAAATATAAAAAGATGCTCAGACGCAATGCTCACACTAATATAAATAAGTAGTTACTAAGAATGATTTTCAGTTTTATTTTTTTACCTCTTAATAAAATAAAAAAAAAAAAAAATACTACAATACTACATAAGTAGTAGTTAGGTCTTTTCTAATTGTATAATTGTTAGTTAGTGTACATTGACGCTTATCTGTGTTAGCTGTCTGTATACACCTTTAACTGATATGTTCATATAGCCTTAAGCTTTATTTTATTTTAAATTTTTTTTTTTTTTTTTTTTACATGAACCCTGAAAGGGCACAGCAATCACATTAATAAATCTTATATAAACTACATAATTAAATTTTTACATTATATATATGTATCGTCGATTAGTATAAAAAATAAAAAAAAAATAAAAAATCATCACCAAATTAAAACAAACAGGCACAAACACAACTAACTTTTTTCCTTGAAAAATTCCTGTAGCGCATAATAACTCTTTGCGATTAAATATTTTTTTAGAGCTATTTTAAACTTTTTAGAATCATCCTCACCTTTTAAGTTAATTGGTATTTTATTGTAAATTTTTATTGACATTGCGTAAGGGCCAGAATGGAATAAGCTTGGTAGTGAGGAGTAAGATTTTTTTGTTCAAACTTAGATTTAAGCATTTTGTAATAGTAGTTTTTCTCTTTTACTTATTAATAACATTGTATATTGTCTACTTAATTATTGTGAGCATATTGTTGGTGTGTCTTTTATAAATAAATAAATAATTGTGTACTGAACTATGTTGTTTCATTTGTGATTTCAAGAAGTATGTGATTGGTAGATCGCGCAGGGTTTCGTCAGTAAACAGTAGATCTTGGGTCTAGTCAAGTCGGCTATCCTTGTTATATAGCATTAAGTCTCCCTTTTGGATTTTTTTTATACCACTGAGGTGGCAAACAAGCATACGGCCCACCTGATGGTAAGTGGTTACCGTAGTCTATGAACACCTGTAATACCAGAGGTATTACGCGTGCGTTGCCGACCCTGAAGAAACCTCATTACCCCCTTTTTGAAGAAGCCCATGCTGTAGTCTCTTGGGAAAACCTCGGCAGGGGAGCTCATTCCAAAACCTGAGTGTTCGTGGGAGGAAACATCTCTGAAACCGCGCAGTACGCGACCATTGAGGCTGTAGGACATGAGGGTGAACTCCCTGTCGATGGCGAGCCGTACAATGGTAGAAAGTGGCTGTGGGCATCGTATTGAACAATCCCTCTGAGCACATTTTGTACTAGACCAGTGATTCTCAACCACTGTGCCGCGGCACTTTTGTGTGCTACCAAATTTTAAAAGTGTGCCGCAAAATTTTGCAAATATTTAAAATTTTTGTCATAAACTATTTATGCAGTGTGTTGCAGTAAGTAAATAATTTTTATCTTTTTCTTTGTGTGCCGCCAAATTTTGAAATCGTTAAATATGTGCCGCAACAAAAAAAAAAAGGTTGAGAATCACTGTACTAGACATTTTTAGTAATGTGGTCACAATAAAGAATAAATAAATAAAATTTTAGAATTTTTGAATATAAAAATTTATTTACCTGATATCTCTTTATGTAGCCCGCGTACGCTCTGGCCTTGCGTGCTGTATCATCAATTTCGTTGACTTTGGTAAAGTTTTTTATGAGGCTTTTCAGGTCGATACCTGTTAATTTTAACATTTATTTATTTAAATTTTTTTTATACAACTTAGAATGGCAAACAAGCTGACGGTCCACCTGATGGAAAGTGGTAATCGTCGCCTATAGACATGAGCAGTACCATGGACATAACAGAGTATACTGTTTCGCCCATGATACCCCCCATGCGTTGCCATTCCTGAGGACTTAGGTGTTATTGCTCTGTACCCAGTAAATTCACGCCCTTATTTTCACGCCATTATTAATGTAAATGTTTTAAAGTATTTTCTTTTTACAACACAAGGGGGCAAACGGCTCACTTGATGGTAAGTGACTACATTCGTTCATGGTCACCCACAACGCCTACGGCATTGCAGGTGTGCTGCCGGCCTTTTAAAAATGAAAATGCTCTTTTCTTGAAGGTTATGTTGTCGTATGTGTTCAAGCATACTGCTTATATGAATATCCTATATGAGCGAGACTTTGTACAAAATCGTCTGCTTGGGTACCTCTGTCTATTCATTAGTGTTTTGTACCATAAAGCAGTTTATTAATGAACTGGTAACCCCGCCTGCGCTAACGGTATACGCTAGCGAGGCACCAATGAGGGATGATAGGTGAGAATTAAAAGGCAGGTCAGTTAATTCATCGTGATGAAGACACCAGGAAATCAGTACGATGAGATGTCGTATCCGATTGGAAACACTGTTCAATTGTTTGTTTACCTTCTTCTCTCGTCTTAGCGCCTTAATGACTAAATATATTGCATGTCAATAATTTTTCAAATTTGGTATACAGGGAACTACAGGGAATGAAGGACATAGGCCGGCCGAAGTCGCGGGTAATAGATACGTATTGTATTTTAATATGTAAAAATAAAAACATTAGATTTAAAAAAATATATTTACTTATTTGTATATTTTAATATTTTTATATTACTAAACTTATTATAAACAATTGTAACAAAACCAGCTAGTTCGAAGTACCAACTAAATTACTGAGCCGATTTTGATAAAATTTCTGCTATTAAAATAAGTATAAATATTATTAGTATATTGTTTCAGATATAAAAAAAGAACTTTCCAAATCGGTTTACAACTGACAGAGTTATGAGGTGGCAAACAGCATAATTTTTTTTAATATTTTTTTGTGTTTATGTAAATTTGTTCCAAGTCTTTCACCAATATATTTTTTTTAATTAGTTATCAAATCACGTTTGAAAAATTCAATGTATGCATACGTCTATGATCATCATCGTAACAGCCTTTAACTGTCCACTGCTGAACATAAGGGGGAAACCTTTGGGGATTTTGCCAGTAGTTGCCACGCTTGGCAGGTGGGTTGGCAACCGTAGTTAAGTTTTGTAGATGTTTTGAGACGGACGCTGCTGCTTAACCTTCGCCCTCCTATCATGTGTTTGGGGGGAAGGGATCGTTAGTAATGCGGGCTACCAGTCCCATTGCTAGCAATATACCCTGTCAGATCGACCTCCACGCGGTTCCCCCTGGAAACCATCGTGCTGAGTTCCAAGTGTATTCATCACTGGTGCTCCGCCAGCGTATACCGTTAGCGCAGGCGGGGTTACCATTCCATTGATCATGCATTAAAAAATCTTCGTCCTCCCTTAGTCGCCTCTAACGATAACCATGGGAAAGGAAGGGGTGGCTCATCCTATGCCAGATTCAGACTACGAATGATGTCTGTACAGTACTGTAGGAGTAAATTGTAGTACTGTCTGTATATGCCGCCGCGTGGTCCCGGCATAGAATAGGTCTATGCCGGGACCACACGGCGACATATATACTCATATATAAACAATAATTATTTAGATTACAAACCAGCTGAAAAATGCTTCCCTCTGCCTGATAGTACAACCACTCTGCATTCAGGATTCTCATGCAGTGCCTTGAAACATGTGGTCAAATCACTGGAATATAAAAAGATATATCTTTATGAAAACAAAACACTTGGGTGATATATATTTTTTCTATAGGTGATAATGAAATAGTAACCCTACCCGCACTATCGGTATACGCTGATAGGGCCAGTGAAGGATGAAAGACGAGGATGAAACAGGTCAGTTAGCCCATCGAATGATGACGAATTCAATGAGAATTGTTAACTACGGTTTCTAGGGGGAACCACGTGGAGGTCGACCTAATAGGGCATATTGCTAGCAACGGGGCTGTCAAACTCCATTGCTAATAATCTCTTCCCCCAACTTGATTGATATTTAACTGTTTCATATTTATTTGGATTCTGTAGTTTTTTTTTAATGGGTTGAAAATGGAATGGTGATGGAATGTATTGTATATGCCGGTGAGGCGGGGTACCAGGGAAATATGACAGGTGAGGATGATATCAAGTCAGTTACCCCATCATGATGTTTAGGTACCAATATGGTTATTAAATAAATGCGAAAGTTTGTGATGGACTGAAGGATGTTTGTTGTCCTTTCACACAATTACTACTAAACAGATTTGTATGAAACTTGATACACAGATAGGTTATATCCTAAATTAGTACATAGGAAGGTTTATGTACTAATTTATAAGGGCAAAGCTAATATTAATATACAACTAAATTATTATGTACCACTGTAGCTGGTACATGGTCCATCAGATTGACATTTTTAGTTGCATAAAAAAGGTACTTACTCCCATAGAGCATCATTGAATGTGTTCAATTTGTCTGGACGGTTTAGTTCTACATGAAATACATTCTTTTTCGGTACAGACACGGCCAGTGTTTCATATTGAGTGACATCAGCTTTGGCTGAGTATGTTCTTAACAATGTGCCTGAAAAAAAAAATACCCATAAGTATTCTTCTTTGTTTACTGATGACATGGGTAAATAAAAAAAACATTTAAAAAAATATCAATTTAGATTAAACTGTTAAGATTTTGTTTCATAAAAATATTAATAAGTAGAAATTGCAGTTTTTGTTGTGTAGTCCCAGTATAAACCATATAACCCAGTGTAAACTTTTCCATGGGTCTTATACGAGAAGAATGAAGTAAATTATGTTGAGGTAAAAAAGAACAGACTCAACCTTTATGTATTTTATCTATGGTGTTGTCTCTGTGAAAAAAATAGATGTATGCTTTATGGTTAATTGTCTTGAAAAAATGTAACTCTGTATTTGCAATAAAAGATTTATGTCTGATTATAAAGAAACATGCAAGAAAAGAATTAAGAAGTGATTATAAAGAAGAACAGTGTTTTATTATTAACATTCACAAATATTATTGAATTAATGGTTGAGGGATGGGCAGTATCGCCCTCTTAAAACAGCACTAAAGCCTGAGTCGCCAACTCATTTATCAAACATAGCAGTTACAATCCCCCTTTATGGGAGAGGCCTATGTTCAGCAGTAGACAAGTAACAGCTGATATTTTGATGACATTTTCTTTTATTAAATATTCTAAGAGCCCTTGTTTAATTTCAGTTGTTAGACTTTGGTTATATTTTAAGAAGAACGTTGTGTATTTCCAACCTTTAAGTTCCCTTAGTCGCTTTATTACACCCACCTTATTACGCCTTATGGCACCCACGGTGAAGAACTAAGGCATTCCTTATGCCTTAGTTATAATAATAAATAATTACATACCGAAATTAATAACTGATAAATGTATTTAAATTGACCGGTACTTATAATGGCAATTTAAAAATAGAATTTAACATTTTTAAACTTTTTTTATACACTAATTTACATTTAGATAGTTACATACCTATATATTAGAGTTTATTTGCTCGAATGTATAAATTTATTTATTGTAGTAAATTGTAAAAAAATGTATTATGAAAATGTTATTAAAGAGAAGTTGTAATAAAATAGAAACTTACTTGCAACTTTGTTCGGTTTGTTGAGAACTATAGATTTAATTATTGACGCCATTTCGTTTTAAAAAAGTGAAAATACCAATTTTTACATTTATTTGCAACGTACTTTTTCTAATAGATTTATTTTGTATAAATTGTTTGTCCGGCGAAAAGTATATATATTTATAGCTAAGTACTTATTTAATATTTATCTATTAGTGTTGCCTAATAATACACGGAATTCGATTATTAATCGATTCTTTGATTCGGGTCACAGTCAAATGATAGTATTTATATATATTATAGTAATTATCGGTTATAACCAGAGACGATTATTATATAGCATTGATAATATTATATAGTATTTATAAATAGGGCCTTTAATGCTTATTGAAATAATATTATGTCAGTAGATACCTATTAAAACATTAAATAAAGAATATTATAACAAATCATGGAATGCAAATAAAAAATAAAATATCGAGTCATCATCATATTAGCTTTTAATTGTCCACTGCTTAAAATAGGTTTATCAAGTATTTGAAAAATATTTACCAGTATGTATAAATGAATAAATACTATTGTTTTGAAATAAATATCAATGTAATCGATACAATAATATGCCATTGAATTAAATATTAGACTATAATCAATTAAATTGAGTACCTAATATTGATTCAATTACTTAATGTTATTTAGATTATTCTAAGCAATGTAAGTAAATATAGTCAATAACAGATAATCTATTATTAGATAATATTAAATTGCCATCCTTAATTATGACGTAATACCACTATTAAACTTTGGACAATTTGGACTTTGCTCCATTGATTTGATTGGAAGATCCTGGATTGCCAACATCAAAAAATATTTATCCCTAACTATTATTAGGCTAGAAATTAAAACTCAAGTATACATAGGCGTATTTAAAGTTTATCTTCTAGGGCCTTCGGTGCTTTAAAAAAATCATAATTACTCTCATACATGTTGTTTTACATAGTCAAAAGTTCCATTCACATCCTGGAATTGGCATCGTACAATTCTGGGGTCAGTACGGATTCAATATGTACCTAGAAACCATAATATTAAACACGGTGTTGCCTGTAACAATTGAAATAACACTCAAATTATTAAATATTTTTATTAATTCAAAACATTGTTATTACAATGTTTTATTACCTTATTATGATTACTTCTATATTGATTTAAAACATCCTATTTTAATATTCAAATATAAATAGAAGAAAACAACAATTCGAAAATATAATTAATTATAAGTAGTCTCGAGTGGCAACACTGTACAGGCAAGTGTAATGTTTTCCCAACTATTATTTACCTGATTAACTAGACATAGATAATATAGGTATGGTACCTCTTCAGTATCTATAATATAGATAGATATTGAGTTGCTCTGGACAATGATGATGGAAAAAAGGTTATCACCCATTTCGATATTGCCCATACCGGTCAAATATTCATTCCGCTCGGGTTTTTCATTTCAATATTGCACGGGGGACAAGACTTACGTAACTTATGAATAAAAAAACCGAAATAAAAATGTTACATTTTTTTCTTAAGTACTCTATCTACATTTTAAATATTTTTTTATTCAATCGAATCGCACACGTGCTGTCTGAAAGCTATCAACGCAGTTTCTGAGTTAATAAAACTCAAAGCTCTCATTAAATCTTTGATTATAAGGAAAAATAAAATAAAATGCAGGGTGTAAGATCTATATTATGTGTAGCATGGGTCACGAGCTCAACTGTTCGCAGGTTTAAAATGCCTTTTATTTTAAATATTGTAAATTTTTCGCATTTTTATTTTTTTAACTAACAAGGTTTTATGTTTTAAAAATATATCATACGAAATTCAAACAATTGTGATAAGTCAGAAGTGCAAAAATTTTAATGTCCTATGAAATACTACATACATATATACTTGTATATCATATATAACGAGAATCAATGCTTTTTGTTTTTTTTTTAATGGACGATTATGTAATGGTAGTTTCGCCTGCGCTATCGGTATACGCTGGCGGGCCACCCGTTAGGGATGATAGGTATTTTTTAATAGATGATAATGGAATGGTAACCCCGCCTGCGCGCAATATACCCAACCAGGTCGACCTCCTCGTGGTTCCCCCTGGAAACTATCATGGTTAATTCTCGATGAATTCATCATGATAGGCTAACTGGCCTGTTTTCATTCTCATCTATCACCCTTTACTGGTGCTCCGCCAGCGTATCCCGTTAGCGCAGGCGGGGTTACCATACCATTTTCACCCATCAAAAAAAAATTCCCTGCCTGCGCTAACGGTATACGCAGGTGGGACACCAATGAGGGAGGATAGGTGAAGATGAAAAGCAGCTGATAGGTAAGGATGAAATGGCAGATCAGTTAGCCCATCGTGATGAATTCACTTGGATTTGAACACGATAAGTTTCCAAGGGGAATTGGAGGAAGTCGACCTGAAAGCGCGCATTGCTAGCAAAGGGTACCCAATCCATTATCATCCATTAAAAAAAATAATAGAAATAGACAGGTTAGTTACTATTTTAATTTTAAACTTTCACATTTTTGTTTACGTAACTAATTAATGTTCCTAAAAATAAATTCCTTCCTGAAATATTAAAATGTATGTATAAATTGTTCCAGCAATTCCCAAATTAGCTTCAGCTCCGTTCGTTTGATAATACAAAATGTAGATTGTGAGACACGATATGGCGTACAGCTAATGTGTTTCATATTTCATAAATAATAGGATACTGTGTCTGCCTACACAATGTAGTGAGTGCGCCCACTGCTACGCACATTGGATATAATTAAATGGCTATTATTAAAATATTAAAATGCCATGTGGACCCGGCATAGAATAGGCCACCCCTTCCTTTCCCGTGGATGTTGCAAGAGAACTTTTGTTCCTTTTTTTATTACTCTGATTTTTTTTTTGATGGGTGAAAATGGTATGGTAACCCCGCCTGCGCTTACGGGATACGCTGATAGATGAGAATGAAAACAGGCCAGTTAGCTCATCATGATGAATTCATCAGGAATTAACCATGATAGTTTCCAGGGGGAACCGCGAAAAGGTCGACCTGTTTGGGTATATTGCTAGCAATGGGATTCTCAGTCTCTATTACTAACAATCCCTTTCTCCCCTTACTCTGACTATTAGGTGTCAAACTTAGGTCCATAAATATACATATATATCTTAAATTTCCGCATGTGGTCCCGGCATAGTTCACCCCTTTTCCTGTGGGTGTCGTAAGAATCGACTAAGGGAGGGCGAGGGATGAGCAGCAGCGTCTCTCTTAAAACATCTCCAAAACCTATCTTTGGTTGCCAATCCGCCTGCCAAGCGTGGCAAAATCCAACTATTGGCAAAATCTCCCAATGTTTAGCAGTGGACAGTTAAAAGCTGATATGCTGATGATTAAAATATTAAAATGTTCTGAAGAATTGTTTGAAATCATTCTCATAGCCACCTTTTATCATTGGTCCGCTTGCCATCGACAGGGAATTCATCCTAACAGGCTTGAACCTAAATATTCGCGTATAGTGCGGTTTATTTATTTATTTATTCTTTATTGCACAGTAAAACTTTGTACAAATAGCGAGCTTAATGCCATATGGCATTCTCTACCAGCTATCATGGTTTCAGAGGATTTTTCTCCTGTGAGCGCTCAGTCTATGGAATGAGTTTTCCCGGGATTTTCCCTACAGACTACACTATGGGGTTCTTCAAAAATGGGGTCTATAAGATACAGTGAACGTTTAAAATAAAAAAAAAATAGTGTTCAAGGACTTAGTTCTCAACTAATATGGGGTATTGAAGCAGAAGACTATTGAACAATGTCTCTCTCTGGTAAATAACACCTAAAACCACCTTCTCTATCACAAAATAACACCCACGTCCACCACCTACTCGTGTCCTTTACTATCAGACACGCTGTATTCTTGTTTTCTATCATAGTCGTTTTAAAACAATTTCCTAGACAATTCTTTGTGAAATCATCATGATGTATTCATCATGAACCCTTAGTTGTATTTTTTTTTGATGGGTGAAAATGGTAACCCCGCCTGCGCTAATGGGATACGCTGGCGGAGCACCAGTGAGGGGCGATAGATGAGAATGAAAACAGGCCAGTTAGCCCATCATGATGAATTCATCAGGAATGAACCATGATAGTTTCCAGGGGGAACCGCGAGGAGGTTGACCTGGTTGGGTATAGTGCTAGCAATGAGATTCTCAGTCTCTATTATTAACAATCCCTTTCACCCTACCCTTAGTTGTATTCTGCCAGCGTAAGCCAATAGAGCAGACGGGGTTACAATTCCATTTACATCTATTAAAAATAATCTGTTCGTTTGGGGGGGAGGAATTGTTTTTATTTTTAATGAGTGATAATGGTATGGTAACCCCGTCTGTGCTATCGGTATACAATGACAGGACACCAGTGATAGATGACCAATGAGGATAAAAGTAGGTCAATTGGCCTATCCTGACGAATTCAACTAGAATTATCCACGATGGTTTCCAGGTGGAACCACGTGGAGGTCGACCTGAAAGGGTACATTGCTAGTAATGGGGCTATTTGACCCCATTACTAAGAATCCCTTTCCCCCCAGGAGGGATTGTTAGCAATCGGTTATAGCAAACGTGTTGCTAGCAATATACCTCATCAGGTATACCTTCACGTGGTCCCTTTTAGAAATGATAGGGAATTAATAAATTAATCAGGTAAATTGGCTATAATGGGCTTATTGACCAAAATTATCTTCACTTATCATCTAGCACTGGTATCTGGAGAGGAGGAAGGGACTGTTAGTAATGCAGAATACTAGTTGCATTGCTAGCAATATGCCAAGTTAGGTCGATCTTCATGGGGTCTCCCCTGAAAACCGTCGTGCTGAATTCCAGGTGTATTCATCACGATGGGCAAACTGATCTGTCTTTTCATTTTCAGTTATTGTCCCTTACTGGTGCCCACCAGCGTATACCGTTAGCACAGGCGGTGTTACCACTCAATTTTCACCCATTTAAAAAATATCGGAGGGACCTCTGATATGGCAGTAATCAATTTTACCAGAGGGAGACTTTGTACAAAAGTCGATTGCTTGGGTACCTCTGTTCCATTCGTGTTTCAACCGTGAAGCAGTTGTGTTTGCATGGCTGTGTTTCGGTTTGAAGGGTGGGATATGGCGTGAATTTACTGGGTACAGAGGAATAACACCTGAGTCCTCAGGAATGGCAACGCATGGCGGGTATCATGGACCAAACAGTATACTCTGTTATGTCCGTGGTACTGCTCATGTCTATAGGCGACTGTTACCACTTTCCATCAAGTGGGCCGTCAGCTTGTTTGCCATTCTAAGTTGTATAAAAAAAATATGGTAGAGGTAGGTAACTTCACCATAAATAAATTATAGTTAGCTGTCGATATTACTGAATATTGGAATAACATAATTAATGTCTCATTGCCACGTTATTACCTATTGTTCTGTATTTAATACAGAAACCCCTTTTATAAAAATATAAAACTAACTGTCTACCTTGTGCCATGGAATTAGAATTGGAAGTCCTATAACAACGAGTAAATAGTGAATACGCGTGTTTTAACAAAGAATTGGTTTGAATGGAAAAGTTTTGTGAGTAGAGGGAGGGGAGTTCATTGTTAGTATTTAATAGTATAGAGGGAAGAAAGTTTCTTGAGTGGCGACCCCGTATGGGTAAACGCAGTGTAGAACGACTCCCCACTAGATGGAGTGATGACATCAAATGCATTACAGGGAGTCAGTGGATGCAGGTGGCTCAGGATCGCTCTTAATGGCAGTCTATGGGGGAAGCCTATGCTCAGCAGTGGACAGGTAATGGCTGAGATGATGATGACGAATGGTACAGGTACATTTGTTAGCAATAGCAAAGTGTTTTGTTAGATCGACCTCCACGCGGTCCTCTCGGAAACATTACCTCTTTCATGATAGGTCGACTGACGTGAGTTTATCTTCACGTATCATTCCTTACTGGTACCTCGTTGGCGTAAATTTATACTGTAGGCGATGTTTTTTTTTTATACAACTTAGAATGGCAAACAAGCTGACGGCCCACCTGATGGAAAGTGGTAACCTTCGCCTATAGACATGAGCAGTATCATGGACATAACAGAGTATACTGTTTCACCTATGATACCCCCCATGCGTTGCCATTCTTAAGGACTCAGATATTATTCCTCTGTACCCAGTAAATTCACGCCATATACCACCCTTCAAACCGAAACAGCCATGCGAACACAACTGCTTCACGGTTGAAACACGAATCGGACAGAGGTACCCAAGCAATCGACTTTTGTACAAAGTCTCCCTCTGGATTTGCATTCTATAAAAAAAAATGATTTATTTAATTTAGAAGCATACAGTCATGCCGGGTGTCAATGGATGCAGGTGGTTCAGGACCATTTTTTATGGCAGTCTATAGGGCAGCCTTATGTTCAGCAGTGAACGTAGAATGGCATAATACACGATACAGTCATAATTAATGAAACATTTATAAAAAAATAGCCGTGTGGTCCCGGTATAAAATGGACCACCCCTTCCTATCCCATGTGTGTCGTAAGAGGCGACTAAGGGAGGGCGAGTGATAGGCAGCAGCATCCTTTTCAAAACATCTCCAAAACCTAACTGCGGTTGCCAATCCGCTTACCAGGCGTGGCAACTACTGGTAAAACCCCAGGGAGGCTTATATTCAGCAGTGAATAGTTAGAGGCTGATATGGTGATGATGATATAAAAAATACAATTACAATAACATTCGATACTTGCAGGAAATTCCCACCCACCTGAAATTCAGCATAGTGAAATAACTCCGTACTTTAACTAAGACATTTTGATCGTTGAATGGATAAACATACCATATTTATATGTATATATATCTAATATACATAGACTGGGGGGAGAAAAGGGATTGTTAGTAATGGAGACGAAGAATCCCATTGCTAACAATATATCCAACCAGGTCGATCTCCTCGCGGTTCCCCCCGGAAACTATCATGATTAATTCCTGATAAATTCATCATGATGGGCTAATTGGCCTGTTTTCATCCTCATCGATCACCCTTCACTGGTGCCCCGCCAGCGTATCCCATTAGCGCAGGCGGGGTTACCATACCATTTTCATCCAATAAAAAAAAATATATATATACATAGACTTATTTGTAATAATAATTTTACTATATAGATAATCTGGTTGTATTATTTTATTGTTACCCTATTCCCTTTGGTCGCAACAGAATATCAGTGCTTTCTTTTGAGGGCGAAGCAATAAACTGAGCTGCGACCATTTTGTATTGTTATGGCACACGCACAAAAGGGAAAATTGTACTTGGCTTTATGTATTTTTTTTTTAATATTTCTCTTATCTCTCAACTTCCAGTAACGATACGACATCATAACCTCCAAGAAAAGAGCATATTTCTTTTTAAAAAGCCAGCAATACACATCCAATACCTCCTATATTGCAGGTGCTTATGGATGCCACTAGTCACTTACCATCAGGGGAGAAGGATTGCTCATTTACCCCCTGTGATATAGATAAAAAAATGTCTCTTCTAGAGAATTTATTTCGGCGATTTCCACCCAATTATGCCCACCATATATTCAGCGGTCCGCCATTGGGGATAGCGTAGGAAACAATTGGGAAATTCTTGGGTGACCAGTCGCAAAACTTGAGGGTGGCACTATACATTTAGTTAGCCGGTATATACTATAGTGACATTGAGATGGAGCGTCTCTTTACATGTGCTTAGCCATAATAACAAAATAGCCAAACTGTTTAAATCTTCTTCGTGTGAATTTGTATTTTTTTTTATATGATAATGAAATGGTAACCCCACCCGCACCATCGGTACACACCGGCGGGGCACCAGTGAGGTATGGTAGGTGAGGATGAAGCAGGTCAGTTGGTGAACGTGACGAATGTAACAATAAATCAAACACGATGGTTTCAAGTTTTTTTTTATGGGTGATAATGGAATGGTAACTCTACCCGCGCTATCGGTATACACCGGCGGGGCACCAGTGAAGGATGATAGGTGAGGATGAAGCAGGTCAGTTAGCCCATCGTGACGAATTCAATAAGAATTGTTCACGATGGTTTCCTGGGGGAACCACGTAGAGGTCGACCTGATAGGGCATATTGCTAGCAATGGGGCTGTCAAACTCCATTGCTAACAACCCCTTTCCCCCCGATGGTTTCCAGTAAGAACCACGAGGAGGTCGACCTGTCAGGGTATATTGTGAGCAATGGTACTACTAATCCTGATTACTAACAATCCCTTCTCTCCTGTGAATTTGTATTATAAATTGTACTCGATTTTTATCGGCTACAGTGACCATTTATCATCAGACCGGCTGTATGCTTGTTTGCCACCTTCGTGGATAAGTTCACTGACCCCTTTATAGAGTAGTCTGTGTCGTTGACCATTTCAAATTGTATCAATTTACTAAATTTTGTAGCGATTGGTTCTTTAAATCGACAAAAGGTAATAAACAGACAAACTAACTTTCATATATATAATATTATAGTAAGGACGTAAGAAAATTGTAGTAAAAATTAACTATATTTAAAAAAATTAGAAGGTTGTTGGTTACGTAATTTTTTTTATAAAAATTTACTATCGGTTTTTAACCGACTTCATAATGGAGGAATGTATAAATCTTACTAATCTTTTATATCTGTAATGAATTTGTAATTATACAATATTTGTGCATGGAGGTCATTAATAAAATAATAATAAGGGATCTTTAGAGAAACAGAAACCAAAATTATAACTTTTAGAAATTTCGTCTGTCTATATGTTTGTATAGACACAAAAACGACTGCATCAAATTGGATGTAGTTTATATTAGTTGAGTTCCTGAAGTTCTAACTTAAAATCTGGTATATATTTTATCACGAAATACCGTCTAGAAGTAGTGTTATTCATTGGATTTTCCTATTTCTAAAATCCACTTATACGAAGTAGCGTGCTAAAAGCTAGTTAAATATGCATTTTTGGTGCATATGTTACGCGATATCTTCGTTAATTGTGAAAAAAGTCTAATGTACCCTTTAAATTCAATCAAAACTGTATACTCCCATACCCAGGTAGCAAGGTGACGTCTTCGACTCAAATAGGACGTCAGTTTTAAATCATTTTACGGTCAATGACTGAAAATTGACGTCAATATGACGAATAAGTATTTTTTCGTCATATTGACGTGGAATAGTGTGAAGGACCGATAGCCAAGTAGTATTACTTGGCTATCGGTCCCATATACTTCACACTAATTGGGTCTGGACTAAAAACATTCCTTTTTCTTTTCTGAAACAAAATCTTATTACTATTCTTATAGTTTTAACACAAAGGTTGGCGTCCAGAAAGGAGAATATCTGATTACAGTCACAAACTTATTCCTTTCTCGAAATAATGGTGCCTAACAAGACCTTAATTACAAAGCATTCGTAAGCCCGTAACCCTTGCATACCGCTTCCACCCTCTTTTTTCAAATCTAATTTGGAAAACTTCGACACGGCAATCATAGACCAAATGGTTCTGATTACGAACCTAGTTCATCCCCTTTGTACGGGAGGGTAGTAGGGAGGGAGGATGCGCGAGGGTGGCTGACAAGTGGGGGTGCAGAGGGGCGGGGTTTTCGTCAGTGTCGTTTTTGCCTTTGGCGAGTGCGGACGTGTCGCGAGTGATTCAGTGTTGCCAGCACTCCGTGATTCGTCACCGGTGAGTGATTTTTTTTAATTACTAATACAAGTGTTTTATTGTAGTTTTTGATAATAGTGAAATATCTGTGTTTAATTGGTTTGATTTCGTGAATTACTAATACCGGTTCTTTTATGAAATTCCTTTTTGATTTATACATTGTAGTAACTACATCTTTGTGTATGTATATATACATGTTGATAGTTTTCATTAAAATGTTGATACTAAAATAAATGCCTTCTATTTTGGGGGACTTTGTCCTGTTATTCAATTTTAAGCTCTAAATTTGAAGATACAAGATCCAGATTCACAAGGATAATAGATGCACCGAATAGAGAGGACGATCTAAATTTATCTCGAGCTTGCATCGTTTATTGTCCATAATGTTTTTATTGCAACGACGGAAGAGTGTAATAATGTCTGAATGGGAGAACGGATTATGATATAAAAACTTTAGATGTAAACCATAGATATGGATAGAATAGATATCGCATCTGCATATATTTGATAGTGATTTTGGAGGAATAGGTTCATATTTGATTCCGACTAAATATTGATTTGGTGTTCTTACATAAAATTTATTTTGAAAAGAGTACATTTTTAATTTGCAAAACACTATTTCATTTATGCACATACATATTGATAAACGACGAGATGTTTTGTTGAATTTAGAGCATCGGATTGCGTGTTTTACTTACATAGTTATAGGTTTTGAGTCGTAACAATCTCTCATTTTCCTCCATAAAGGAAAATAGCAGCTTTAAAATATATCCAAATAGAAAAATAAGGGAAGGAAACGCTCTGCAAAAAGCATTACGAAAATCGGGTCACAATTGGCGACTTTAAAATGTTACACTTGGTGTGTCCCAAAAATAATCATACGAATTGAAAACCGCTTTTTTTTAAGTAGCTAAACAAAGGCTGAACAAAAACATTATTACATAGATGTTAAAATGTGAACAAAACTAATAGAAGATACAATACAGTATCTATGATTCGTAATTGTAATTATTTAACTGACATTTACTCGCGGCTTTGTTCGCATAACCGGATATAAAGTACCTTATATCCTTCACCATTCTGTATAGTACGTATGTGCCGAATTTCATAGTATTCTATTAGTTAAGTCGTTAACGCTCTAAAAAGTATTCAACAAACATACTCACTTTCATATTTATAATATTAGTAAGGATTATAGAATTTATATAACTTAAGATTCACAATCCCATGAGGTTATATTTATTACGGTTTGAAATTTCTTAAAATAAAAAAAAAGAAATTAGGATAATGTAATAAGGATAGTGGATTCGAATACTTATGGTAAATAAGAAATTCCATGTATAAACGTTCCTATTTTTATTTTACAGTTCTATTATTATTATACTATTATTTCTGTGTAAGACAATTTCGGCACATTTAGCAACGAACATTACTGGCTGGTTAGAAATAAACGGTCATATTTTTACATAGATTAAAAATAATAAGAGCGTGTTTTCAGTCCTGTTTTATAGTCTATGATTATACATTTTGATTTTTTTTATTAATCTATGGTTAGCGCCGATTATTTTCTAATGGATTTAGCGCGGGAATGGTTTGCTGTCAATAAATTGCTTTCAATACCAGGCTTTCAATATCACGGTGTCACTGACTCTGAAGAAACCATAATACCTACGTCTTTTTAAAGCCCCATGCTGTAGTTTCTAGAAAATGTACGACAAAAAGACATCTACAACGTGCATACATACATAAAGACATATTTTTTAACAATGATTTGTATTTTATTTAAAAAAAGAACACTGAGAATCTGTGACAGATCGCTAAGTTTTTTTTTCTTTTTCTTTAGTGGCGTTCACCCCGATATTAGGGTATTTTGCCAAGAACAAAACGGGGAAACGACAGTCTCCTCCATGACATGTTTTGGCAGTAGTTGCCACCCTTGGCAGGCGGTTTGGCAACCGCAGTTAGTCTTTAATGATGTTTTAAGAGGAACGCTGCTACCCATCCCTCGACCATAAGCTCTTATTCGCTTCTTACGACACCCACGGGAAAGGAAAAGGTGGCCTATTCTATACCGGGAATTACACAGTTAAGTATATTATTATGTGTACATATTTATTTATTTTACACTTTATTGCATTAAGTAAAAAAAAAAAAACAATAAGTACAGTAAATATTAACGAGAAGTGATACAAAAGGCGCCCTTATTGCTAAGCAATCTCTTTCATACAACATGTTTTATTCTTAAATATTTTTTGTTTTTTTTTCTGTTATTTATTTTTTAGTGTATATATTATAAATTTGTCTGTAAAATTCTTAAAAACGTTCTTATGTAGAGTAAGTACATGAACCTTGTTTAGGTGTAGCAAAATTTAATTGATAGCTAGTTAATATACATTTTTTTTATACAACTTAGAATGGCAAACAAGCTGACGGCCCACCTGATGGAAAGTGGTAACCGTCGCCTATAGACATGAGCAGTACCATGGACATAACAGAGAATACTGTTTCGCCCATGATACCCCCCATGCGTTGCCATTCCTGAGGACTCAGGTGTTATTCCTCTATACCCAGTAAATTTACGCCATATCCCACCCTTCAAACCGAAACACAGCCATGCAAACACAGTTGCTTTATGGTTGAAACACGAATGGGACAGAGGTACCCAAGCAATCGACTTTTGTACAAAGTCTCCCATGCATTAATATCAATTTAGATGTTAGATTATATTTAATTACTTTTACAAATAATTGCTCGTTTTTAAATAGGTTTTTCATGCAAAAATTTCGATTTACATTAAATAAATGAACAGCAATTTAAAATATCATATTAATTACACAAAAATTGAAATCTGTCTGGTTATTTACACAACTCGTCGTTGGAAATAAAGCTTTCAGACTTTGCTATTTCATTTCATGAAAAGCGTAAGTTATTATTGAAATGGTAGTGTACATAGTGGTTACGGCTGAAATCTTAGATAGGGTAGGTTTTTTTTTAATAGACATAAATGGAATTGTAACCTCGCCTACGATATTTGTTTACGCCGGCGTGGTGCGAGTAAGTGATGATAGGTGAGGATGAAAGCAGTTTAGTTCGTCCATCGTGACGAATTCGTCAGGATTTAAAAATCTTTTTTATTAGAATTTATTTATTTATTTAATTCTTTATTGTACACACTAGTTTTAAGAATAATACCGAAGTAATGAAAAGTACAAAGGCGAGCTTAACTCTGCTAGAGTTTTCTTTAATTTATTGAAAATGTAATCAGGTTTTGTAATAAAATATTGATTTTATTTTTTATAGAACACAGTTTTAAATTATGTAATTCAATTTTATTCTTTTTTCATCCACAAGTTTTATTCGCTTGTCTTATATTTTTTGCCATGATTTTTTTGTGTAGTGGTAAAAATAAAGCATTTTGAGAAACGAAATCTGTTTGCAGAGAAATGACTCCAAATTGTAATTGAAATATTTTCGTTTTAATACATTTGTGTAGCAGTCTTGTCGTGTTACATTCGTGTCACTATTTTGCAGTTAAACGTTGTGTTAATGTTAAAGTTATGGAACGAAATATAAAATTATAAAATATTAATAGTAATAATTAATATAAATAATAATTATTAACATAATACTAACTAATATTACCTACAAATAATTTTTATCATAAATAGACACTTTTTTTATGATATGTAAATTTTTTTGTATTATTGTATAAAAGTAAAACAAAGAAAATGATTAATGCTGATTAAAAAAAAAAGTACATTGTAATTGTTGATTATGAAATTTAATTAATGTTATGAAAGAGCGGTTTCTTAGGAGAAAGATTAAAAAAAAAATTAAAGATTGCTTGTGTTAGGACACAAGCAATCTTTGCTTAACAGGAGCTACCAAACCCTGTAATGTAACTAACTGCCTTTGTATAAAGAAATAAATTTATTATTATATTATATATTATTATAATAATTATGAATTATATTTCAGAAAAAAACCGACTTCAATTGTTTCATCCAGTTATTTCGATTTGAAAATTAAACTAGAGATCCGATATTGATAAAATTTCTACGGGAGTAAGTGTATAAGTAAGCAAGTAGATTGCTGTATATACTTGCTTACTTATACACTTTCAAATAAAAAGGAATTTTTCAAATCGGTTCACATCTAACGGAGATGAGGTAAAAAGCAAAAAAATAATGAAACCGAATTGAGATTGCTTCTTTCTGGAGTCATTTGAAAATTAGGTACATCATATAAATAAAAATTTATTACCAAATGTATCTGTGTATATGTGAGCGCATCACTTTAGAACGGCTGCACTATTTGGATAATTCGTCTTTCGTTGTATTTTGTTGTGCGAGTGAGACATAAGAGAGGGGGGAGTTCTTCAAAGTTAGTAAACCTGGTCGAAGTCGAGGCTAGTAGCTAGTTTTTTATAATCTGTCTTAAGTTTCAATTATCATCGATTGATAACACCTTGATTTGATTGTTCATTGGGTTCTCAATAAACCAAATAAGTCCTTAGCTGCTTTTAGGATTTCTTTCAATCAAATATTTGTCTTTTTAAAACTTATATAATCGAACAATCTTCACAAGTATTTCATTTAATCAAATTGAATATCTTTTTTTTTTAATTAATGTAATTCATGAATTAGTATTTATTATGATTAAATAAAATTATATTACTAATTCCAAAGACGTCCATTCTCAAGTATACGTCTAATGTAGTCACTTTGATTTCGAGAATTTAATTACCCTAATTTCAACTACTTCATTTGTGTTCAGTTGGAGAAATTCGAATAATGACATTGGAGTGCTTTGTTCTAGTTAATAAGGTTTCAAATTATAATATATTATTGCTGTGTTTTTCAAACTGTGGGTCATGACCTCCCGGGGGATCCTCAAGTAAGGTTGTGAAGTAAAAAAAATAACAAGTTAGCAACGTAATCAATGCCTCTTTTAGGTACTTTGTTATGTATTATTTATTTATTTTATTATATTTAATCGATACCTAACTATGAAAATAAATA